CAACTGTAGAGATAAAAAGGTTTGGTTTATGCAAAGATAGATATAAAGTTTTAAGAATTTGTTAAAGTGAGCAAATCAAGTTGAGTTTATTGTAGAAGTAATACGCCGTGCGAGGTATTATTGCGCATTGCGCAAATAATACCCATAGTAGATATCCTTCACTGAACTTGTACGAATGTAATTTTAAAAAATCGGAAATTTCTTTAAATAAAGTATCCAGGCCTAAATCGAAGATAATCTGTAAGAATTCACTGCAATTTTATCAGTAGCATGCAAATATTGTTTGGTAGAAGCTCTTAACGCAGTGGTTCTCAAACGTTATGTTCCTGCGGGACCCCCTATGCTTCTCTGAGGTATCCGCGGACCCGAGAATTTTTGAAGCGAAAACACAATAGAAGAACATAGCATAGAGCTATTCGGCCAACATTCAAATTAGCTGCCACTCCTCACGTACGCAACACAAATAGCTTACTGATTTATCTCACGTGATCTTGCACATCATGTTTGTTCCTTGCTTTCGTTTTGATTTGAACAAGTGTGGAAAATCCATGTCCACATAAGTGAGTAAAGACTGAGGGGATAATGATTTTGAATGCAGTGGCGTTATGCTCACAACTACTTGTTTAAGTGCGATATATTCATGAATATTGATATCCAAACTTAATCTTTGTTTTTCCCTCATAAACTACTGCAAAAAGTGGAAATGTAATGAAAAAATATCAACATTTTTGATATGGAATGCCTAAGTTGGGTTTTTGTCATATTTTCTCTGTCTAGCCTTTTTGCTGCTAATAGGATGACTGCGAAACTTTACAGTACCGGTAGAATGACGAGATTGCTGAAATCCAATCACAAAACCACGGCAGCACGGTGCGAATTTTCCACTTTTGATGACGTCACCAACCAAAACTTAAAGTGAAATTTTTTTTTCTAAATAAGTAAAAATAATAGCCTACTAGCGACAGCAACAATCTATAACCACTGAAAGTTTCGAAAATTATGATCTGGTAGGTAAACGGAAAAGCGCTGCTCTAGAACCTTCTTGCGCATATTTACCATTTTGTATATAGTAAATCTTATTGGTAGTCAAACCATTTCTGACATAAGTAAAATTGAGCGCGGAGTAGTTTGATTAATACACAACAAATTGCAAAGACGGGCACAGACCCACGACTCAAATATATACATTGTATCCATCCACATCTTGAGACAGTTTGTTTGGTTTGGTTATGACGAGTAGTGTTTGTCGTCTTATCTCTGTTAATATTGCAAATATTATTTTAAACTTATATCTGTAAACTTTGAGGTTTCGTTTGTGTTTTTTGCTTATTATTACAGGTTGGACGTCCACAATCGAGTTTGGCTGAAATATTGATGAGGGTAAACAATCAAAATGCGTTTGAGCAGTGCCAGAGCATAGTAACGACAATCAAGGGTCGAAGTATTGTCTTGACTGATGGAAATATCTTTAGAAGAAAGTTGAGCAATGCAATGTGCTTCTATTTTGCAGGAAGGCCGTCACTGTGAAGGTCATGTTACTTTGATCTGAGCCTTCTTTCCTAAAAGCGTCAATATGCATACGATTATCTTATATTCTTATAACAAGAAACAACTTTCCAGTCCAAACTGTTGGATAGTAAGGGCGGTTTTACTCGCAAGAATGAGGATTTGGAAAAAATAAAATCTATCCGTCAGGTACAAAAAGAACAATGGTTGTAGGAATAATAACTTAATATTAAATTTTGTTTCGGAATATTATGGGACTCTATGAGGTTGTACGTGCTTTGGTTTTTGATATTTTATCCATTAAGATTAGAGTAGGCCTATTTAAAAATCGAAAGTGAATTCGAATAATAAGTATTTTTGGAGTAATAATTAGAAACGCTCCCCCTCGTGTAGTATATTGTTAGATAAAATGATGAGTTGGTTATCGTTAGCAATTATTACATTGAGACATCATGTGTCTAGCATCCCATTTTTATATGATAATATTCATTCTGATTTAACTACAACAAGAATACAAACAACCTGGCTTTCGCTTATCTTTCATTACGTTCTGTGATCGTTTAATTCAAATAGTGTAGCATACGGTTACGAATTCAGTTTCTCATCCGTTGTACAACGTCATTCAGAGAGGCGTTTGCACAAACTTAACAACTCCATGAAAAGAATGGAATACTACCAATTAAGAATTTTATGTGTTTACAAAAGTGCTCGTCAAGCAATGAACTTCTCGAATTGTGATCTAAATTGCAAAAAAGGCAGATCACGGAACATTGAATAACCACAACGAATTCTGGGTGGCACTACTAGAAGGTCCTGAATTATACAGTCTTGCACATGAAATGGTTCCCATTCTCGGTCAAATGTCTATAATACACTTTTCTGAACAAGTTTTTTTTACTTCCATGAAAATAATAAGAGGAAACTCAATTAAAAATGCGGGAGACGGCACCACGAACAAGGGCACTCCTCGCATTGTAGATGATGAAATACGACGACAGCAGTAGAGTTAAGTTAATTATGTGTACTGTCGGTATGAACATGTATACATAACAGTAGCCGCGTATAAGGTTTTTATGGTCTTCAAACGACCTCACTTTAAAAACAAACCTTGCTCATAAATTTATTAGATTTGCGCATGGATTTATGTTGTAACAATGGCCGTCGTACGATGTTTGTTTATAAGCGAAGAAATATGTCTGTTGTATGACGTTTACCGTTGGTTGTAATTGTCAGTTTTGAGTTTAGTTGATTTTGATATTCATAATTCAGCAACAAAATATTAGAAAACTTAAAAAAATTGGCAATGAGATTGGAACATTCCAAAGTGCTTGGGCGGCGAAATATTTCTTAGTTGAGTATTATTCGAAACCTATTTGCTTGATCAGCCAAACTAGTCGCGAGTGAGTCATAATATGAAATTTCAATGCGAAGATTGTTTATAGGTAATTACTGTGGCCCGCACGCTACCAGAAATGTGTATAGTTGGCCCAGCAGTACAAATAGTTTGTCGCTCATAGTTGTATATCTTCTAAACATTGTGATTTTGACCGATTAGAATTGTAAGATGATTGGGGTGTACCAGAGTTTGAGTGAAAGATAGAAAGGTATAGAGCAAGGTCGTCCAACCTTTTTTGCCGAAGGACCACATGTAATTTACTAATAATTGCGCGGGCCACTCAACATGGTAGTTATGTTCTAGTTTTGCTATACAGGCTAATGAAAAATCAAACAATACCTCACACCGAAACAACTTTCACAATTATTAGAACAATAAAACTGTTGTTTCCCAACCATTGATATGGCGCCATCAATGGTTATTCTCGAAAGTTTCGCCAAAGACAAGCCAAGACGCTTGATCATTTTTATAACAGCTCCTAACAAATCAACGCCTCCAGCCGTACATTAACAGGGAAAATGGCTGCGAGCTCTCGGTATTTCAAATCATCATTCTGTGATTAACTCCCGAAAGAAGATCGCCAAGTCGCCACTGAGCAGTAAACTTGATGTCAGTGCTTTCGTCAAGCGCTTTTCGCTTTTGCAATTAAAAATTTGTTATAGAGTCCCCAAGCTCTTCAACACAACGAGTTATGGTGTCTTGACAGGCTATTTTGCAAACACTCTTTTATTTCCGGACGTAAAACATTGTCAACCCGAACAATACATAATATCAACGAATTCTCAATCTGAGAATGGCTTTGATTATTTTGCGATAACATCATATAGAGTAGTAAAAACCAAGTGTGTAAGCGACTATGGCACTTTATGTATCGATATCTCCTCCCAGTTGGTTTCGATTCAAAATGGCACTCATGGCTCGTTTGAAAGGGCTGGCAGAGCGCATTTCAGAAAAATGAACGAATCGTCTGTATCCATCTTGTATACTACATCAATCGAAAAATAATTTCATCAATTTTTTTTTAATTCTGAAAAATACAGCGCGGGCCACATATGGCCCGCGGGCCAGGGTTGGACGGCCCTGGTGTAGAAACGCTGGTGTAGAACCTCTGCTTAATAAATATCGACAAATGCCATTGAATTAGTGTAGTTTTGTCTGGTTTACAAACACTTACTTAAACGATCAGTGTTTTATTTGTTATGCAAATATTCTGTATAATAAAGACTGACAAACATTATTGATTATTACAGAATCAAATAGCACAGGATAATAATATATAACACTGAGTTGAAGCTGCAGAGATAGTGAACTCTGTTGAATTGCTGAAAAATGTTGTTGTATGAATCATTAAGGTGATACATAAGTCAGCGAGTGTTATGTATGTAGATTGTCTAGTTCAATGTTTAAAACAATACTGGTGATGCAAGTATGAATTTAAAGGGTTCACAAACTTGTTTATTAAGAAAAGATATTCAGAAACGCCACACCAGCAAGTATTTTTATAGCGAGGCTATTTTAAAATATCAGCATACGAAATCGCATTATGCAAATGTGTTAAAACTATATAATGTATAAAATGGAATTATATCAGTAAGAAAATAAGTAAATGGTCTTACAGGGCATCGTGACGAAAAACTACATTTCACCAAGATTTAGTTTTGTTTATGTCCGAACAACAATTTGCACTTGTCGCGGACTAAATTGGTGATGATGACGATTGCTTCGTTGCAAATATTCCGAGTGATTAATATAGTCTTCTGATGGGGAAAATTCTGCTCTGCCATTCAAAATAGTAATGAAGTAATTCCTTTCACTCACTTAATCGTTAGATGTATAGCATGTGCTTAGTCATATTTATATCTATATAGTTACAAGGAACTTGGCATTCGCATTAGTACTAACGCGAAACTGTTCTGAATCATCTCTGCAATGTTTGGCTAGCATCACATCTGACGAGTTATTATCAATTTCTACAAAGCTAGATTGCCAAAATTTATATGATTCATATTATTTACGTCACTCGTTAGATATGATTTCATTTGAGTCGGGATTTGCCCATTTGCACATATTCCAATAAGAAAATTTTCTCCAATTATTTTTAGATTTTTCATTCTTCATGTAATGCTAGATAGTGAAATATAGGTATTTTCTTTAAGCCAAGGATTTGCCTATTTGCAAATTCCAATAATAATTGAATATCCTCAAATTTTTGATTCTTCAAATTCCTTTGTTATGGAACAAAAAGACTTTGCATATAGGAATTTCAATGTAGTGTTGAGTGTTGTGAATGTAGATGTCTAATATTGATTGGGTTGGATCCATATAATTACAGGTAAAACACATAACATATGCAATTTTGCTTTTATTCATAACCATCAATCAGACAGTCCTTTCTGTGGGGAGACCATGATAACGTTATCACCCAATTTACTCCGAGCAATTTTGCAATCAGATATGTCACAATTGATCTTGCAATGGTAGGAAACCGACAGCCTATTCGTGTAGTAAAGAAAGGTGGAATTATTGATTGCTCAATGTACCCCCAAGGCTGTTCACATTTATTTACCCCCTATGTAGTAAATATTCCCCCAGTTAGGAACCCTGGTTAAATTGGTTTGCTAAATTTGGTCGCGATATATAAAGATGAACATATTTTTGAGACACCATTGACTAGATTTGCCAATAAAGAGTGGAACATGAATAATAATTGGCCAATGTTTTATTGATGACGCAGTCATATTTGGAATCTATATTTATTAGTCGCATACTAATGCCAATGAATTATACTCCAGTTGCTGATATATCAAGACTGCACTTCCTCGTAAAATACTATGACGTCATCCTAGAAACAATGTTACACTATAATTTTCCTCCCCCGCTAGTCTTTGAATACTAAATATTGTTCAACGTTTGACCGATATTATTATTGTGCTGTCATTCAGAAACCAACTGGCATCCTATTAATATCAGGGTTGTTGGATTCGCATAAAATTCGATTGAAGTTTGATTCAATTGTTTAAGTAGAAGCAGCATTCAACTCAACAGAAGGAATAGAGTGCCATGGATACGACTAATCTATTTCAATATGCGTAAGTAAACTTGTTATTGTTGGGGAAAGAAAATAACTTCATTTCTTATAACATCTTATACTTGATAATGCCTCCTCTTGTTCTACTGGGTAAATCTGCTGATAAAATTACATTTTGTTTGAAATGCTATTCTGTTTTTACCTTTATTTGAAAATCAACAAAGCAAGTGTATATGATATATCTCTGAAATATAGAATTAAATCGCAATGGTCAAGTTCCTATTCCCATATTTAATAACGTGATAATTTGTTTTTGTTATAGTTACTTTGAAGCTACTGATCAATTCAGTTGTGTTAAAAATAGGGTGTACGCTATATTAATATAATTTCCACGAACCTAATATTAACAAAAGTGATTTCTAAATTGGAAACTCTCATGCGTGAATATTTTTATTGTCCAGAGAAAATTATTAAGTCAAGTTATTCAGAACCCAATATTCTTGGATTAAGAAATAGAACAAGACGTAATCGTCAAATACGGTTATCCGATATATAAAAATATCTGTTTATGTTTACAAACTGACATAGAACAAGACGACAAATTATTTATATATGTACACAGCAGCAGGATTATTATTATGGAAAATAAAGAAATATGTCGAGGAAAAATATACCTCATTAAAATCGATTTCAATAAAATCTGTTTCGAATTCATAAATGTCGGTGGTAATCAAAATAAATAGCTGAAAATATATTTAAAAAAATTGTTGAGTATTTAATAAATTTATCGTAATTGATACAGCTTAACGCTGGCTGGGTTCGTGCAAACGTATCCCATTGCTGGTTTACCAACACGGTGTTGCATTTATGCAAATGCGCAGAAATTCATTTGAGTTAGTTCTATATATTTTACGAGGTTTTGATATTAAAAATAACATTGAAAATTGAATCACGATTAGCCAACGATTAGCAAACTGAAAGCATTTCATTCAGTTTGAGACAAAAATGTAATTTTGTTCTAAATATCTTTTGGCATATAAATTTCGTTGGAAAGAGGGTGACCCGGCCAAGATTTTAACTTGATCAAACCCAATCAAAATATATTGATGCATTGAATCATTTCGGTTTATTTTTGTGGTAATTTAATATTCATTGGAGACCGCTTTCACAGTTCACACGCCAATATGTATATATACCATGGCATATACCATACCAAAAAAGTATCCAGTTAATAATTAATTTATCCAAGATGTAGTGTGTTCTATGGTCTTGGATATCTATGTTGTTTGCGAATGGTTAACCACGCTATAATAATATTTCCGAATTTCATGCTTATATTCCTCGTGCTTCATATTTATTTGTACATTTCAGCTGGTATTACGGCAAGATTAATAGACAAGAAGCAGAAGAAAATCTGATGGACCGAGGAGAGAATGAAGGATGTTTCCTTGTTCGGGAAAGTAAATCAAGACAAGGTAAATAGTGTATCAGTTGCTATATTTATCTCAGATATCACATAACATCAAGCATTTAAATGCGTGGGATATTTACACCAACACAAGTGCAGCTGGGGAATATATTTCAATTTTTAGTATAGAAACTGAAAATTTCATTAAACAGGAAATGTAGAATGTACCTCTTTGTCTAAGACATCTATTCAAATCTATGAATACGGTTGTTGTAGCTGCATGGTTAAAAATAGTTATGCAATAATACATTGTGATGTTAGTAAAAGTTATACAATCATTCGTGTGATTCATCGCCTTAGACTCATTGCAACACTAACGCTATTGCAGCTTGTCATTTTCCATTCCGCATTATCCTTTTGTCAGCCTGGCTGCAGCCTGGCACTCATTTTCAAATCAACACATTCCCCGACTACAGTATCTTTTATCTCACGTTACCATTTTGAGTGTGCTAACAATTTTAATGATCTCATTATCTGTTGGGTATTTTCCACCGGTTGCCTCCTAGATTCGTTCAGTACTGTAACGTCATTATGTCTTCTTTTTTTTATATATATTTTGACATATGTAGGCAATTGGACATTATCAGTTTTGGATTGGGTAGACGGTGGATGCAGCGTAGGCCATTATCTCATTTACAAAAATCCGAAAGGTGGATATTATTTTGACGAGGACACTGAATTCGACTCTATTCCTAAACTGATTGATTACTATAAAGGTATACATGAATACAATCTTATAACATAGACCAAGAAATATTTTCACCAATTGGATGTGGGTTCCGAGAATGTCACCGTAATAAAATTAATATATATTAAAATAACATAAAAATAGGTAAAATGATATGATGAAAATCAGTGAAATATTTTGAATGTTATAACCGATTTTATATTCACACTCCAGCACATCCTAAAACCGTAACATTCACAATAAAAGAACCGTGTCCGAGGGAGGTTTTGCTTCCTGATAAAGACGAGGATGAATATGATTTATACGAAATCGCAACTGAACTTCCTCTTCATCAAACGTTTCACAAGGAATCTTTAATATCATCTTCATCTGTGTGCGCGGTCTGGAAAGGTGAGTTGAATAATACCAATGTAGACAAGATTCTCCACTTGGAGCGAATTCATTCATCCATTTTGATCGTTAAAACCGTATTTGTTTTCATTTTCATTAACACTGCAATGAATGCGCAGTAGACATTACGGCGCTTCAGAAGTTTGTGTACCAATATGGAGGTGACTAATATTGTTTGCCTACTTCACATCAAGTTGTGTAAAAGGACGGAAACCTATGGGCAGGGGGTATAATCACTTGGCTAACACATGCAGTCCCTGAACTCGTAATAGAACTAAAATAAGAAAAATTGGAATAAAGTTATGGCCTAACCCTAACCTGGTTCACATACTACGGGAGTACCGACGGTACTGTATGAATTAACCAAAATAATTCGCTCGGGTATTAAATGGGAGAAAAAATTTAGGCACTTCTTCTCACTTATCTTGTATGTGAGTTAATTCGAATTTAATATTTAGTCTAAGTTTAAAAAAGTAACTGAATATTGCAATATTCTATTTTAGTCTAAATTTCAAAAAAGTAACTTAATATTGCAATATTCTATTTTAGTCTAATTTTCAAAAAAGTAACTGAATATTGCAATATTCTATTTTCCAGGTCACTTAGGATTGCACGACACGGTAAAAATCGTAGCAAAAATTGCGGTTGGTGATTCACAGGAATCGAAACATATTTTAATGCATGAGGCAAACATGCTAAAATGCCTTTGTCATGAAAACATTGTCAAAATGCGTGGAGTGGTGAGTCATTGTTTTATTCTTACATGTATTCATTGATTTAAATTGGCTTATGTCACTAACAGTAACAAATAGGTCATCAAACAATTTCTGACGGTAGGTAGTGATCGTATTATGACGAATGGGGTTGGCAACATGATATGTATATGTTTTATGCAGCCAGAACATATAACGAATTATAGAGATCTAAATCCATGTGCTTGATCACAAAAATATCTTTTAAGAGACGGGCGGACTGTTTAAATAAGGGTTAATTACTTATCGATCTAAGATCGTTAAGTATGTTGATAGTTATTTGTCTGTCTGTCTGTTTGATGAACGCGCTATCTCACGAAGGCGAGGTTGAATCTGCTCCAAATTTTGCATGTGCATTCATCATATCTCGGACCAGAAGCCTATTGATTTTGGACGAATAATGTCGTATAATTAGCGAGTTATTAATTATATAGTGATGGAACACGCGGTGTCACTATAGAGTCATGAATCGAAACCGCAGTTTTGATCGATAAGTCTTCGGTCTCCGACCGATATTCTCGTTAGTATATTATCGTTTGATATCTTATATTCTCATAAACGAAGCGTCAATGGAATTAGAATTAATAAATTGGTAATCACAATAAAATAATTTGACGTGCGGCTGTCGTCGCCCAGTATCAATAACCCCTTTGCAACAGTACAATTAGGAGGACCAATGTCAATGTCTGAAACCTAAATCAGCGTAAATGCGCAAAGAATATGCGATTGTCAGGCAATCTGATGAGAGCGCAAAATAAAATTGGCGACAGTCAGGAAATGCCGCATTATGACATCAAAAGTATATCCATAAGATTGTGAACTTCTCAGTTAGAAATACCTGCTTTTACTATTGTGTGTGCGTATGACAAATGTTCGGTTAAAGTACAGTTTCCGTATGACAATTTCACAGTAGAACTCTGCACCCAAGACGCGACCGAGAAAATACTTGGTGCAAATGCAAATCGTTCGCTCTAAAAAAATTCTTCCCTCAGACATTGTATTCTATGCGTATCGTATCTAAAAATGCATTGATGACAACTTGAAATGGCGCCACAATTTTTTTGATTGCTGTTTAACCATAGTTGTTGAATGTAGTTAGCTTACGGCTGTTTCGCTACGCTTGAGTGGTAATGAGTTACGTCATAGTTTCGCTATATCTAGTATTTCATTTGCGTGTAGATTTTGAAGGATTTAATAAACATAAACAAACCAGTTGAAGCTGGAGCCGTGACATTTCGATGGAGCTGGAGCCGATCTGACCATAATAGATGGAGCTGGAGCCGGAGCTATCAGAAATAACAGTGGCTCCAGCTCCTGACAATGGAATTACTTTTCTGATTCTGTTTTTTCAATAATTCTTAGGGTTGAGTTGGAATTGTGCTCATCAATTACGCCGATTTCAATTCAATAATCTTTCGCGTCTTCAAAGATTAACCAGTGGCTCCAGCTCCTGACAATGGAATTACTTTTCTGATTCTGATTTTTCAATAATTCTTAGGGTTGAGTTGGAATTGTGCTCATCAATTACGCCGATTTCAATTCAATAATCTTTCGCGTCTCCAAAGATTAACCAGAACCAAATAACTGGCAGCCACGGCACATGTACGAATATCGGATATAGCGATGTGCACTGATTTTATTTATTGCGTTTCATGCGGTATTATCAAATTACCATATGTGATATAGATTAGTTAGTTATTTATTCGTGTTGATGATCCGCACAAAATTCGTTTGCGGGCCGCATTTTGCCCGTGGGCCGCAGTTTGCCGATCTCTGCTATAGATTCTATAGTATGCATCTTCAGCAGTTCAATTGCTAAACTGTTTACGTCTTCGCTATATACACATTGCCACGTTATGGAACCTCCTGGCGTATACTACCGGCACACCGTTTCCTCGGACAGAGTGCGGTACAGAATCTGTTGAATTATTTGGTCGGGCCACAAAATTGGTATAATATGTAAAAAAAAACTTGTCAACAGTGAAAAAGAGCAACATATTACAGAATTTTGAAATTCCAGATTTCCAAGACGACACCATTTCATCTTTTACAAGATTACGCAGGAGATACAAATCTGATTGGACTTCTACTCAAAAACGGAAGGTCTGAATTTACTCTGATGGACCAATTAAATGTGAGCATACAGGTGAGATTTGAGAAAAGTTAAACAAGATTTATTCTTTCCATTATATATTTATATTCAAACGAAATAATAAATAAAGAGCCTTAACGAGAATAAGGTATGTCGATTAACAACCATTGCCTTTTTATATTGATATTCCTTTTTTACGCCTTGAAAACGCTTGGTTTGTACTCTGCATGGTCTTGTTTAATTCTGTCCGAGATGGAATTCAGGCACAAACAAATGAGCTACCTGCAGAAATGTTCAATTATCCTGATACTTACATACAGATACTATAAAAAAGATGTTTAAAGTTACATTCTAAACTCTCTCATATTTGCAGATAGCATCAGCTTTGAGCTTTTGTGAAAAAATGAAATGTGTTCACCGAAACGTAAAAGCTAAAAGCGTTATCGTAAATACTACAGACCTGAAATGCAGGCTTGGTTCGTTTAAACATGCGAGAACAATAGATACTCATGGATTTTTCCACGATTTCAACACAGGTATTATCTTGGTCATCGGTGATAACTTCTAAGATTTAATATTGCATTTTCAATTCTCACCACATTCGAATATGGAAACTTTTGTTGTTGGATTGGGTCCACTTTTCTAGACCTAGCATACTGATGAGAATCTGATGCCAGCGGCACTTAATCATCTGTTTCTAATGGGCTATTTTTGAATTAAATCAGGAACATGCGAATATACACATTTGGACCGATTCATTAGCGGCCGACTGACTTTACAAGTCAACCATTTATAAGCGGGTCAGAAATGTATTTTGGAATGTATTTCCAAATATATATACAATGTTGAAACGTTGAAAAATAAATTAGTTCTCTGTAGCTATAACTGAGAATTCGAAAAAAAACGCAGACAATAAAACGAAGTGATATCAGTATTTCGAACATTTATCCTTCTGTTAGGTATTTATTGCTTCAAGAAGTTTACAAACCACGACAAGTTCAATACCATGCAAAGGCTAAATTTATTCATAATCTACAGATCATAGTTATTCAATTGTACACACGAGTAGACTTCGATGGATGTCGCTAGAAGCTGCGAAACAGGGAAGGTATTCACATGCATCCGATGCTTGGTCGTTTGGAATTTTTCTCATTGAACTTTTCACCGGTGGAGCTTTACCTTATGCAGGTACGCGACGTGGTTCAACATCTGCAATTAGCTATTGTCAAATATTGTTTCAAATTTGGTTGTCGACGCACCATCGTACTACAAGCGACGTCGTAATGTGTCGCGACTCACAGTTGGAAACTCTGATTTATATTGTGTTCGACTCCTGAAAACAGACTGAAGAATAAGTAATTGATTACGATCCTCATAAGCTGGTTGAATCTATTTCTTAATTTTTGCAATCAAAAATGAGAAATGCATAAAAACTACAGCTACACGCCTATTTTATTTTTTGTGTTTTGATTTTTAGGTTACCTGACCTCTAGAATACTATCTGAAGTTGAAGAAGGATTTCGCTGTTCAAAGCCCACGTCATGTCCAATGGAAATTTATGAATTGATGCATCAATGCTGGATGTTTTCAGAAACGGCTAGACCGGATTTCAGTACGATTAAGGTAACAATTTTGTCATGCATCTGTACAGACAGATACATATACAAATGTCTCTGGAAACCGTTTAACTCGGTTTGGCTACTGGTTACATGACTAACAATTCCATCCGTTGAACTAGAAAGGTAAATTGGAAGTAGTAGGCTATACCTACATGCAGATAATCAGTTTAAGATTGACGTGTTATATCGTGTAAACGTGCGGTAAAAGACGCCCCGTTTGCATAAGATGCATTGCACAATGCACTGTTTTTCAGGCTATGGCTGCTTTTGCTGGTATTCGGAGAGTAGGTATTAGAATAGGAGTTTAATTTTGTTTCTTCATAATCGGAGTCGGAAAGTTTCAGACCTCGGTCGGCGATGTTTTTATTGCCAGAATTTGGGTAACCTAGAGATTAATTCAATATGGGGTGTACTAGGGTATTGTATACTGAACTGCAAGTCCTTTTCCTTGTTTACTTTCTATTGGGGAAACGTATGTGTCAGTTGCCACAAGGATGCTTGGACGAGAGATAAATATGAATAACATAATCTCTTTGAACGAAATCTTTATCATTTGCAGCCATATTTTGTTTTATCTGAAGAAGTTAGACTATGATCTAACGAAAGCTCATAAATAAACTTTCTATTTCGTGGAAAAAGATTATGTTATTCATATTGATTCAAAAGTTAGAGTTTTTTCTAACCCGGTATCAGAGCTGCATGACGCTTTGAATCGGTTCAGAATCGGGTGTCATTTTTCTCCGATTCCACAATTTTAGTTAATTGCTTATCTCGGCTACTCTACTTAATCATACCTTCTCAATTGCTGTTGCAATTGCTTCATCTGGAGTAAGAAAACCTCCGAAAAATTTAGAATATATATAATATATAAATGGATAGTCTATAATAATTTAAAACATCGAAAAGCCCCTTTGAAGACTTGCGTGAATTGATAGTTAATTCATTTTAGAAAGTTAAAATACATTTCAAACTAATTCATTTTTGATGGCAATAGAACGTATTTCTGGAAAAAATGTCGCTAACTAAGTACTAGATTTTTTGTGTTTGAAGTATTCACATAAACAATAATTGATACTTGCGCAATTTCAAATTGTATTTTTATATTTATCGCAGAACAAATTAGTGAAGTATCGAGATGACAACTATGAAGCACTCGTTAAACTTATTCCTACAAAGTCACGCGATAAAGACAGGTATGCGCCATGCAAGCAATTGAGTGTTAAACAACAACGGACCGCGAGATCTCGTCCGGCACCACCTAATCTGCCACCAGTTTCACAGTATGGATACGACAATTGACAGCAGAGCTGATAAATCTAGCGCTAGGGTCGTTATCAGAGCTGCGTTTGTATTTTCGAACTTTTTATACTCGAATCAGGAGTCGAAATTTTCAACTGGAGCAGAGTAATGTTGGCACCAAAATTTCATATCCATATATTTTGGTACACACAGTACCAATTTTTGATAACGTGTATATATATACACTGTTCATTTTTGTAATTCTGAATAGATTAGTTTCATAATGAGAATGTGAGCGTTTTTCACAATGTTCCCATTTTGACACATTATTAAATTGTTTTTTTTTCTTAATATTGTTACTTTGTTTCCGCTTACTATTAATTTTATTTGTGTGTGTTGCTTATTTGTCGACTTATTTAATACTATTATCCATGTAACATCTACGAAGGTGCATGCTGTGTGAAACATTTCGTAGAAATAGGAGTTAAATAAGTTGCTTCAGGCGATTCAAGGTTGTTGCTACGCACAAAAACAAATATATTTCCGCAACATTTCGTCTTACTCTGAACATAGTCGGACTTCCTCAAACAAACATAATCCAATTATGGATTGTTGACAACTATGGTAGTTGGTCCAACGTAAATCCGATTCAATAAATTGTGGAGATAAATAAATCTGTTCCGAAATGCGTTTTTTGGATACGAGCTGAACTATGGATTGTTTGCTAAATCGTGAAATATCGCCTTTTTCGGTAACTAATGGACAGATCGATTACACATTCTCAGTTCTTATAAGCGGAAGAAGTCACGAGGAGGCTTTTATTATCATATTTTTTTCTCCTAATTTTCGCGGCCGAATATTTAACCTCAAACTTCCCTGCTTCTCGTAACTCACGAACTATCTCTATATGACACTAGGTAATGTCCTTCAATTAATACATCTGGTGAAAATTCTGATGGCATTGCGGTGGCCGCATTAACTATTTTACCTTCACGTTCATATAAATTTGAAGTCAGCTCACTTGTGTCGCTTAACACAAAAAACGATGATTGGCCACTTTTTCGTATCAACTGAACCTCACGATTGGCATCGAAGACCACAAATCACAGGATTCAATTTCACCCTGTGAGGAGGTGGTGCAAGGGAGGGCGTGTACCTCCTCAAGTCGAAGGAATCTAATTTGTCCGGTTAACTGTACCCACAAGTTTACCCCAGTTTAAAAAAATGTAATAAAACAGAAGAAAAATAGCATCAAGGTAGAGGATTAAGTAAAAAACTCTATTAAACACACGTTTGGCATTAAATCAATATATTTACTTTCAATCTGTTGCTAAGGCCTTTAAAAAAAAGGGGACATCAATAGATAGAACATAAACGAAAATGAAGGAGTTTCAAACAAACCCTAAATTGCTAAAAAGTACGAAATCAATATGGATTTCAAATAATTATTCAAAATTTCTGCTTCTACTGTAGAAAGTCACAGAAAAAATATAAACGCTTGTCAGAGAATTAAGTTTTTCACACAAGGGCCTGACAATGATCAGCTAGGGACTTTTATTAAATTGTCAAATTGGTAGTTGAACATTTTAAATGTGCCACTTTTGGTATGCGATTTCACTTGCTAGCAATCACCTACCAAAGTGACATGCTTTAATCTTATAACTTATACATTTTTTATAGAATTCAGTTCCCAAGCCTAACTAAAATCACCGAGATCACAAAACCACTGAGATCGTATACCAAAGTAGCATGTATTTTAACATCCTGGGCATGCATGACAAATGAGTAAAAAACTTTTTTTGTCCTACAATGAATAATCATTTTTGAATTTTCTGTACCAATCGCTTGCTTAGACCAGCTGATACTGATAATCTTGAACACAAAGTAGTCGATTGCATACATAAATTCACAGTGAAAAAATAAGGCAATAGTGAACACTTCAATACCTACTCAAAACAAGAAAGACACAGTTCTATAAAAGCTGATAGTCAGGCTGGGTTAAATTTTAAAAATGAAAGAAAACTATCGCATACAGAGATCAACATGTGAGGAGGTTAACAGGCACCTATGAATTAAATTACAATACACAGCTTGTGTTTTGAGGTTTTTTACTGCTTGGAGGTGGTTGCGTCCATATAAAATACAGCATATGCGACCTCATTTACCATACTTAAATCAGTGAAATATAATACAGATTATCAACACATAACCTGCAATAATGATTTTAATTAATCTAATGATTAAATATTCATAAAATAACATACTTATAAAATTAGCCTTGGCAGATGATACTAGTATAATAATAAGCAACAGTTGCTCAAAAACAATAGTGTTATTGGTGTATCGTTAGTTTTCCACAATTCAAAACATATTAATCAGCTAGTTAGGAATATCAACTTGAAGAACACCACATCATTTTGTGTAAGACATCGGATACATATGTGCCACACATGACAAGATTTGTTTACCACTATGGCTGTGATCAAAAGTACTGCAGGCATTCTTTATTGATGAACAAACAATATCATTCTCAAAAGACAGTAATATCATTTCAATTCGATTAGTAAGTAAAATTGAAAAAAGAAAACGTTTATCAAGAACAAGATGTGCTATTATATGTTCTAGTTTCAGACACATATACAGCCAAACTTAGACCATTTATTACACCACTTACAAACTGGCAAAGTGCTATTGTTAAAAATGCATAGCAGTGGGAAACAAATATTCCTTCCTTAGAGCGAAGAGAAGTTATTTCAGAAACAAAAGTTGAAACGGTTGTGAGACAAGCACAAAAACCACTTTGCAGTGCCCTGAAAAATGCTTTCCATGGACACCACATATTTGTCCAAACAAGAATGACATTCAAAAATGCCATAACAGTGGCTCCTATAAAATTCGCCAAAAATGTCCCAATAGGCATTCGTTTCAAAAAACCATATTTCAGGCAAGGTCTCGTATTCACATTCAGTTTTGACAAAATAAACCTTAATGTTGCACCAAAAGGTGCTAATACGCCACAAAGACATGTATATATAATATTCTGGTGGTGTGAGTAAACAATAGCTAATACTAATAAAGTTATCCATGATATTATAAAAAAGGGAATAGATATGTAAATAATGGATTTTGAAACTTTAATACTCCGTCGTTGCCTTGAAAAATCTGTGCCATCTGTTACGCAAACCACTTTTCGAATTTCAAGTGATAAGTCATGACCAAATATGAATGAACAAATTGGTGCAGCGATGCCTAGAATGATAGCAGCAAATGCAGTGAAATATGGATTCCCAATTGTTATCGCTTGTCCCACTATCATTTCAGATACTTGTTGATTAAACTTTGAAAATGTTGTGATCGATCCACATAGACCTGTATTGATAAATAAAAGTCAAGAGGATTACAATAATTAAAGTAAATCTGACAAAAAATAATTTTATCTTATGTATGAGAAAATTTTTGCAAACACACAAAAATTTTTAATTCAGAGTTGAATAAAAGAGTATGGAATTCTGAAATCAAGATGATGAAATAATTGTTTATGAAAATTTTAATAAAGCAACTGCTAATAAAGCTCATTTCGACTATAATAAAGCATTTCCCAGCAACAGATGAAAGGTAAATAATAACAAACAGAAGCAACCATCGAAACCACTTTGAGTTGGAACTCAAAAAAACTGAGGCTAAGGTAAGCAAAGTTTATCAAACATCAACACTAAAGTCACAGAGATAGAGAATACTTTAATTTGCAGCCCTAATTAATTTTTTGAAACAGTGGAAATGTAAGTCAACTACCTCTTAAAGACCAGAATATTCTATTTTTGCTATTAGTTTTTGACACCATGCTGGGATCATTATGGTTTATTAACTAGAATTTATAATACCAACAAGAATATTCCCAAATATGAGTGGATGCTTGATTAATGCCTTGTTATGAGAGCTGTGAGAGGACCTTACAATAAAACAGTTCATAATGCGGGTCAAAGTCTAAAAAACTAACATAAAAAATAAAAATAGTTGTGTTGAAATAAAAAGGTCAAATTGAATATTTGGGAACAGAGGGTACCAACATTTGGGCAAATTAGCAAACTTGAATTTTAATACATTTGTTCACTATTACTTAATGTGAAGCATCTGGCACTTGAGCTACCATTGTATCATCACAAAATCTAATATTAGTAAATAATCTGAGTAACTCTGTAAATGGCAAATTGAACAGCATAGAACAATAGGCCTGACATAAGGCTCTGTACAAGGAAACTGATTGCTGAATTGTTTTTTTATAATTTTATAAACATTGTATTTCCATAACTGCATACCTGTTGATAATCCAGTGTAAATTGGCAACATTCCAGACATGTTCTTGAGTGTTGAAGCAGTGAGTAATCCCAATATAAAACTCCCAATCATGTTAGCGAAAAAAGATTGAAATATTATGGAGTTAGGACTTTCAATTTGCATGTACGTATTCGAACTAAGTCCATAATCCACACCGACTCTGATTATACAGCCGACAATGGAAAATGTCGCAACACTCAGATAAGAATATAATGACGTTTTCAAGTCCGCATTAGATATGTGTGACGAGGAACGTAACCTAGAGGTTGCTATAATATCGGCATTCTGGAGCTCGATTGCATCAATTTTTCCGATCGGATCCATTCCACTTTCATATTCTCAAATTCTCACTCAGCCAAAGGTCTGCGCCGAGTGAGTCGGTCATCACACTGGTCTGCTAGTTGAGGCGTTTGCCAGCAAGCAAAGCGCGTACAGTACCGCATACCGTATTTACTTTGCCAGGAGATTACTCAGATCCACCTTTAAGGAAAAATAACTACCGGTACTGTATACTGCTTCAACCTAGTACAGTAGCATATATTTACGCTTCAACAACAATGTCAACAAGACGTTGCTTATATTTTTTTGTATTAAATTTTTATAAAATAAAACAGTATTGTAATAAACAATATTAACCGATATGCACAAAACTAATTTATCATAATCGGTATGTTAGTCGTTGATCATAATTTATAATATTGCAAGTAGACCGAATGGTCATTTCGCGGTTATCCCGTCATTCTGTACGAATATTTTTTCATTTTTCTTATTTTCATTTTGTTATATTTTATCGGAATGACAAATAAAAAAACGATTTGATTTGATTGCAAAAAACATAATTAATCAATACAAATACAGGATTAAAAAGTAATTTATCATAATGAACAACTTTTTTGTTGCTTATTATAGGACCGACCCCTCGTCCATTGCAGTTCAAATATTGTACTTTTTTCTTTCAATGAATTTATTCAATTTTAACATTTGTTTAAATGTAGTATGTTTTTGCACGACGAAAAATAAATATCTGAATCTGAATCTTAGTCTAGTTAGGCTCAGGTTAGGCTTATTATGCAGCGTCAGCTTGTGGCTGCAAAGTGATAGATTCGTTCTTTACTATCCCATTTCAGCATTTGGTGTTGTTTGAGAGCGACAAAGTGACTCTAATCACTTTGGAGCGCGAGGTAGGCGATGTATGATTCGCCTAGTTAAGCGCACGTCTGCGCACGGGTTTTGACTCCGGCTTTGATTTCTGCATTTACATCAGGACTCTTGAATCGCATAGATAAGATAATACAAATTTTTGTTGTAGATCCTGATATAATTCTGTACGGTAATGTTTTGTTAATCTGTAGTCGCGTAATACAGTAATATCTCATTATGGAACTGGCACATGGATTACTCTTGAATGAAGAGGCCTTATCGCAAGTGCCCAAGAACAAAAAAACGATCTTTGTTTATGAATGGCTGCGATTTCTGGAGAAAGTTTTAGGAGCTGCTCAAAAGGTTAGAATTCTAATATAATGCTGGATAATATTAAATTGGTTATTGTTACAATATTTTGATGATCAAATACATTTTTATATTTGGAGTCAATGGGCTTTATTGTAGAAACTGAGAAACCGCTTTATTGTTTTAATATTTTGTTTTTCATATGCCTGTATGCTGATATGGTCTTATGATATAACACTAATCAGCTCGGTCTTATAAAGTGTATTTGAACTGACTGTATGATGTATGTATGCCAGGATTGAATGTTTTTTTTTATCACTGTATTAACATGTCTTTGACATATACATATCACATATTTGTGCTCCAAAATGCTAAAAGAAATAATTGTTATAGACTAATATCCTGTAATATTTAGTAAATTAGACTCTGTTACCAAACATCAGCGCTCATGGCAAAGTTTGAAAATGCTCGTCATTGATTATATATATTATTTAGGTAAATATACCAGTTTCAATCATTTTCAACTTACTTTGTTGAAACGTTTTTCGATTACAAATTCCAGCCTATTTGTGGCCCTTATTAAAATGCACATGTGGCATGAGCCATGGCTGCCATACGTTATACACCACTATGTGCAAAGGCATTTGTTTTTGATGCGGCCATCTCAAATTTGATCACGTTTTAAGTCTAATATTATAAACAAATAATAACACTGGAACATGGAAGTTTAACAAAGTTATATCAGGAATTTTTTTTATATGCAGGCTGACATTAAAGAAAAGCAGCCAAAGTTAATTGAACAGCTCTTGAGTCAATTACTTTCTGGACCTGGACCTCCAACGAGACATCTGATTGGTAGATGTTTGACAATTTTATATACTGTTGGAGATACATATTCATCGTATGAGACTGTTAGTAAATGCAACGAAGTAATCAGAAGCAGAGATGATTCACCGAGTTATTTGCCTACCAGATTGTGAGTCTAATTCTTGCGTTATCTTCTTTTTCTGAATAATTAATATTACAATTGGCAGTAGGAAAAAATTGACGTTGACTGTCTATATTTTTCTTAACTTGGACGAAGACCTGCAAGTAAGGCGTATTTAATATAATGTTTCTGGACCTAGGTTCGATCAAACTTTTGGGGTTCTATGACAAAAAGCATCTTTTCGCCAATGTGGCGTAAATAGGAGAATTCTGACGGAGTGTATTGATATGTAAGGTTACGTCACAATGACCGTTGTGGTTCCAAGTTTGTCTAGAAAATTCCTCCAGTTACTAGCATTTTTTTGTGAAATATATATTCAGAGAAAAAAACATATCGGTTGAATATTATACCGTTGATTCTTTCAATTTGTGTTGCAAATTGCTGACGTTTGACAAAAGCTTGCAGAATAACGTCGGGGTTTGTCAGGTTTACAAAGGTTAAGAACCACTAATTTAATCAATACCAATAGGAAAATTACTCTCAAAACATAACTATTCCTCTTTTTTTCTACCGAATTTCATTATCTTTGAGTACTTCAATTGCAGCTGTTGTATTAACTCAGTTCTTATCAATATAACAATATGCAATCTCTAATTTGACAGGGCAGCAATTGAGTGTCTGGGATGTCTTTATGAAAAGAATGGAAGGATGGTAAGTAATTTAGTAATCTCTTCATGAACTATATATTTCTCAATGCAAATGATTACAATCGACAGGATAGAAGAAGCGAAGAAACAGGTGAAAGATTTACCGATTTCTGAGAATTACGTATCCAGGGTTTTAAAAAGCCTCATATTTGAAAAAATAAATCAAGAACTTGTTGAATAAATTTACGGTACATCTTCTTATTTTCTTTTCAGCTTGGAGGATTGCTTCAAGATACAGTTTCTGTATTGGTTAAAGGCTTGAAAAATGCAGAATCACAAGCACGGGCAGAGACTATGCTCACACTCAAAAAAATATTAATTGGTCTTGAATCTTCTGCTTCAATTTGTCATCGTGATATATACAAAGCAACCAAACTTGGTCTAATAGACAGATCAATGTATGTCAGAACTTCTGCTGCTGAGGTAAATGATTATATAAATTTTTATTTTTGCTCCGTGGTTTCCAACTTCATGAATGACTCATGGCCCCTTTCAGGAGGGATTTGGCACTCGTGGCCCCCCTGTTTGTTATGATTGATAGATTCCTTATCTCATTATGTTCTAACAATTCATGCTCAAAGTGAAAAAACACTGTGTAATAACCTTATCAAGCCATGAAACTAGGAAAAACGGGAGGTTCTCATTATAGGAAAAAGTAAAATTAGTTTTGCGCCTTTGCATTGTGGCACTCTTGTGGGGTCATAGGCCTCTGGTTGGGAACCGCTGATCTATAAGCTTGTAGGGCTTGTCCTAGATTTTTACCCTAATTTCGGTTTTAATTGTTGAGTATATTATATTATTAATGAATTAAATGTAGATTTACACTCTAGAATTACATGAAATGGGACTTGATTACTAATAATATGGAGATGTGATAAGATTTATACAAAGCTGGTTATGTATTAGGATTTGCAGATTTTACCTTCAAATTAATATATTTCCATCACATACATGCTCTCTTATTATTTGTGTATATTACAATATAAGTGTGAAAAATTATGATCAAGCATTTTCAGTTTTGGTGAATGTTTAAATTTATTAGGTGTTTGTATTTTTGTACAGTGCATGAGAGAACTAGCTCGTGAAGCATCGTTTCTATATTCAACTGAATTTGAACAACTTGCCCAGCAATGTTTCAGAGCATTAGAAGGAACCACTTATGAAGCACGTAGTGCTATTGCACGTCTTCTTGGGTTTGTCATGGCTGGATCACAAAGACCAAAACCAACAGGTATTCATGTTTCTCTATAACTGACATGGCCAAATCCGGCTTGTTGGGTAATTCAATCTGGCCCGCCTGATGCTGCCACAACCAAACTAAAACCAAATTTTGATGTTTTAGCTCAAAAAAACAGAACCCATAAAATTCTTAAATGTGGAAAACAATAAGCCTCGTGCCAAAACTAAATTTGAACGCGATCTCAAAAAATTCCTTGAGCTATTCTCAACTGAAGCATCAAAATTTGGTTTTAGTTTGGTTGTGGCAGCATCAGGCGGGCCAGATTGATTTATCCAAAGGGCCGGGTTTGGCCCGCGGTTCGTAGTTTCCCCATGTCAGATCTATACTATCACTTGAATAATTCAATCACTTGTCTAATTCAGGTCATAACTTGTTATTGTGCATTGCGATTAAGATATTTTTTTTTTTATTGCAGTTCTTAAAGGTCGTAAGCCAACTCTAGATGAAGTCCTTAATACCCTCGCTAATGGATTTGTACAAGGTGGTCCTGCTGGAAAAACTTCAGGAGGTAGAGATTCAATGAAAAATGGGATAAACACTGCCAGGGCTGTTCGAATCGGAGTTACAGAAGCTTATGTAGAAATGGCATTATCCTTGGGTCCAACTTGGCTGGAAAGGAATCTATCTTTATTTCTGAAGAAAGTACTGGATCTTGTCTCACATCCAAAAGTAAGTGTATTCAGAGATAAGCTGTGTTTATGAAAGAATGCAATAAGAATGGTTAATTATATTTTTAATACTTTTTACTGTCTAATTCAGGGTTAAATTTTTGCCCCCTGGTCTAAAAATCTTACCCACTTAGACTGGTGGGCCATGTGACGAGTATAACGTAAAAAGTTACATTTTATAAACAATACTTACAGAGTTACAAAAGCAAAAGTGGAAAACAATAAGCCTTGTGACGAAATCAAATTTAATCATAATTGCAACAAATTCCTCGGGTTAATTTTAGCTAAAACATCAAAATTTGGTTTTAGTTTGGTCGTTGCAGCATCAGGTGGGTCAGATTGAATTACCCAATGGGCCCTATCGGCTGACGGGCCATAGTTTGCCCATGTCAGATATAAATACCTGACCTGATCAGGTATAAACTTTTCTGAGCCCCAAATAAACTATTCAGTGAGTTAAGAGCTTAGAATATGCATAAATCTTGCAGAACATTTGTGTGTTCAGATTTTTTTTTCAAATTTGTCCAATTTTTTGTAATAGTTTTTATCATAAGGAGTTTCATAAATTAAAAATTTAGTTTCGCTGCCGCTAACATTATAACTATTTTCACTCCCCAAACTTTTGTAAATTAATTTATGCCATCACACAATCTAATTAGTATTGACCTGTAATGTTGGTTTTGGAATGTTTTCTCTCTAAGGCTCAATAACACTGTTGATTTTGTACTACTCAATGTCCGTCCCATTTCGAGCATGGGCCATATTTTTCAACATGATATATGCATGTTAATACTTGTTCGAGTTTTATCACACATAGACTATAGAGAAAGACTATTGATTTGTTTTGTAATGTTGGAGAGAAGTTCCCACAGAAAAATCAATGATTGTGCGTATTTTGGTGCTTATCACACTTTGCACTTGATTACCATCCTTCTCATATTGAAAAATACTAGACAACAATTTCATAGCAACCTATGGTTGTTTGAATTATGCTTTATTCCCATATTAATTCATTCTATGAACATTGAGCATTCCACGCACAATGAAACTGATATTTAAGAAATTCCTCTTTATTTTTGTTAAAAGCTTGGTTACGATTACGAATAAGTAGTTTAATAGATATTTTAGTGGCTTTTTTCACCATTGCTCCTACTCACTCTCCTAGTAATATTCTGGACCAGCGCATGTAATATAATCATCTACGGTATGAAGAACTCAAAATGGCTAAAAGTTTGGAGCATTAAATTTATCTATAATTTAGCATATTATTCAAACATAGTCAAGATGTTCATATTTTTAATGCTTTATCAGTCTCCTATTTTTTGCTTCATCTAAAATACTAATTCTGTAGATCAGTGGTTCTCAACCGGGGCCATTGGCCACAAAGCATTCCAAGGGGGGCCACAACACAAGGCTAATAATCGACCCTAAAGCTAAATCGACTTCGTTTTGCATACTTTCATAATAGAATTCCCCGTTCAGGCGTTCTCCAGAGTTTTATAACCTGAATAAGTTATTTGCGATCACAAGGTGTATTCTGTGCGTAAATTGTTTGATCATAATGGAATTTAAAATCTACCAATCAAAATAGTTTGTTGGTAGGCCGTCTAACATGCAGACGAGCAGTTTCACTAGACTGCGAAATAGCCTTCGTTATCGTATTATAGACGCAAAAACCCAGATGTAAATTCCCAATGCCCAAAGTACGAGAATGGAACGACAGTTACGTTGGCTTTGCCAAAGTCAAGATCATAGAGAATGTGCTCAATGCCTGCATTGCTTGTATGTAATGAGCAATGAATCATTACGTCCATCAAACTCCAAACCGTCATGACAAAAATCATCCCCAGGTGAAAGACGTTGACATCGGTTTTTTGGCCACCAAGCGAGTTCGATTTGACAAGAAAGCAACATTTGCCAAGATGGGTTCCTGTCGGAGGAAATAAAATCTAAAACCGTCATGATGCTGACAGTGACATTCGTCAGGCTATATCAAAGACTGTGCCTAATATAAGAAATCTCGTCAGACAGTCCCAAGCGCACGATTCCCATTGATTGTATACTAAAAAGCATGACTTTTTTGTCTGTGGTTTGTTTTTTCATTCAATAAAAGGCTGTAAGAACGTAATACAATCCAACATATGTATTTTATTTTTTTTGGAATGGCGAACAGGGGGGCCACGAGTGCAAAATGCCGCCGGAAGGGGGCCACGAGCCATAAAAAAGGTTGGGAACCACTGCTATAGATGGAATTTTGTATTGAATGGGATTCATGGTTCTTTGTTAAAAACTAGTTGGAATCGCTTCCTCATTTTAAGAGCAAAATTTGACCTTAAATTGTGGTATATCTCCATTATGTTATTAACTTGGTAATTATAAATCTCACTGTAACCGTAATACCGCTATCGATTCGATTTCTATTTGACTAACTGCTTTTTTTCTATGCTTTTGTGCCTGTGTATCCGTATGCATATAATGCAAGGATGCTTTGCCAAGATTGAAGATAACTATTCTAAGTGATTCAAGAGTTTTGATAGCGAGACTTTTGAATCACTTATAGTTATATTATCATAGTAAGTTTTTCAACCTAAGAGGTGCAAATCTTCAATCTGTTTTCGTCATAATTGAAATAACTGATAAACTCAAGAAATTCCAATTTCCAACTTAACAGCATAAATGTAAGAGTAGGCCTAACTATCACTATTTTCCATTTTTCTAGTCAATTCTCTCACATGTTGAAGCAGTGTATTCTCGAAGATGCGTTGTTTTTATTTTGCGGTCAACTGTCGGCAGAATGTTTGGTGAAAAGCAACAAAGAAAAGCTGCCAAGGAATTGTGTAATGCAATCACTGAACAAATGAATCAAGTTGGTAAGTACAGAATTATTATTAATACTGTGTTGGTAACGCTTTGTCTGCCAACTTTGTTTATTGCACTTAATTCCTTTTGTAATCTTCTTGAAGCTTTATTTAAATCAAAGAGTTACTTTTATTTTTGTCTGTTCAGATCAGAACATATGAATAATAATTGATCCATAAAATAAAGAATACTTTATCACGAATCAATATACTTTTATAGCTTCTGAACATCTTTTTTTTGTTGTCATCAAATGTAGTAGTTTGTATTTGTCTGACATGGGCAAACAATGGCCCACGGGCCAAATCTGGCCCTTTGGGTAATTCAATATAGCCCGCCTGATGCTGCTACAACCGAACTAAAACCAAATTTTGATGTTTTAGCTGAAAACTAGCGCAAGAAATTTTGTTGAAATTGTGATTCACTTTAGTTTTGGCACTCGGTTTATTGTTTCCACTTTTGCTTTTGTAACACTGTAAATACTAATCATAAAATGTAACTTTTTACTTCACACTTACATGGCCTGCCAGTCTAGGTGGGCAAAATTTTTGGCCCCTGGTTCAAAAACCTTGCCCACCCCTGATTTAGAATGTTATACTTATTTGAGATAGTTGAGAGTTATTTGACTTGGACTTGTGTTAGATTAATTCAAAAATAACAAAAATATCTGGAGCAGGATAATTTTTGTCTGAATGTTTTATTATTTCTCATTTGCTTATGTGCATTCATGATTCATCATGGGTATGGAAGTAATGATTTATATGTTTGTTTAATTTCATGTTTTCATTTCCTTTTAAACATGGGATGCATGTGAAAAATACCAGGCATACTTTGTGCAATTTGATTACTGCTAGTGATTTTGATACAAGGAAGATGTCAAAATTTCTATCAGATCTAATTTTTGTATCATTACATGAGAGGGATGCAAATGTGTTGCAGTTTTTCTAACTTTAATATTGACAAAAGCAACTTGCTGTTTTGTTAAATTGAACCATCAAGAAGATATTTTTTGATGAGATAGTGTTTTAATAGTTTGCAAACTATCTTCATGTCATCATTTAAGGTTTTGATTGCATTCCTCATTAGTTCATATTTGACATAACTCCACTACCTCACTCAGGGTGTAATATAATGAGTATAAGAACTAACTTAAAAATATAGTAGGATAGGTATACAAACCTTAGTAACGCTTTGCTTTTTTCGGTTCTCCTGGGTGATAATTAGCCTATATGCAAAATGATTGCTAGACTCCTCACCGCTGTAAGGTGGTTTCTGTAATCGCCGGTCGGTTACGGCTTTCTCCACCATTATGTCCATGCATCTGAAACAAATAACTAGCCAACTAATCCCATACCATACATAGACTGGTAATCGGACGAGAAGCCCCGGTCGGCCATATTATGGTTATGTTGCCTTGTCGGCTTTCCCCTCTCCCAGAATAAATATAAATATCCTATCTTACACATATCTATTTTCAGGCATTGCTCTGACAGATACAGGTGGCAATAACCCATCATCAATGGACATATCACCCAGTCAACATATGTTAGTGTGTGCTACACATGAATTAGGTTGTCTCGTTAAATCTCTCGGAACTTCAGCTGCTCCTCTTGTAGCTGAACCAGCATCAAGTAAGTAGAAAATTCATATTTTTTTAATTTGTGTTCACTGTCATCCAGGGATGGCCAAAAACCAAATGTTTTTAAATATAATTCAAATGCGGAATATTGAATATGTCCTAAATTTGGTCAAGTTCAAAAAAAAAAACTTTAGAAATTACAAATTGATAAAAATTTAAATCAGATCAGTTGTTCAGATTAGTTTTGATAAACATTGTTTTGATTGATTTTTTTATTTGCATTTTTAAATAAAGGCTATTTTATGTCTGACCATAAAATTTGAAATACTTATAAGGTCTGTTTTATCTCTTCTCTGACGATAAATTTCAAATACTTATAACAATAATTTTTTAATTAAAAGTGTTCTAAATTCTTACTAAATTCATATATTTACAACTTACATTGAATATCACCGATTTCAAATTTATTCAGATATCTGATTCAATTTGTACGTTCGAGCTTTTATCATTGGTAAACTGGTAGCCTACTCATGTAGTGTGTGTACCAGGTTAGGGTATAATTTTATTCCGATTTCCCCTATTTTAGTTATATTACTAGTTCGGGGACTGTCTGTGTTAGCCAAGTGAATATACCCCGTCCATAGGCTTCAGTCCTTTTATACAACTTGATGTGAAGTAGGCGAACTAAAATAGATACCTCCATATTGGTACACATACTTCTGGAGCGTCATTAAACTTATGTATAAAAATGTTTTTGTTTAGGTATCATTGAACCTGTAGTCAGCATTCTGCTTCATCCATCACAAGCAGCTCGTCTAGCAGCATCTTGGTGCCTGAGATGTATTGCATCAGCTATTCCTTCACAATTGTGTCCTCTGATTGACAGATGCGCTGACAGGTTAGAAAAGTTGTCTCCTGTAAATTTATGTGTACTGTCATTATCAATTATTAATTAATATGATTGAGTGATAAAATATTTATTGTAGAAAACAACTAGAAGTGCAAACTCGAATTTAGTCACCTTGCTTTACAATCTTGTATAGAAGGAGTAATTCACAATACTTCAGACTGAAATATTTACATTTTGAGCAATTTAAAATCGCACTGATGTGTGATGAAAATAATCGACACTCATTCAATTTGTAAAATAACTGAAAATGTCTTAGCTTTCTTGTATTTCCAAATTCGAATTCACCTAATATGCGTTGACTTCTATGTTTCGTTGCGCAACCTGGCCCAATTTAGATCATATCTAATATACCGTAATAGGAAATAGTATTTTAAAATTTAATAAAATGTATTTTTCTAGTTTGTTGTCCCTGGCATAAATTTATAGCCAAATACTTACATTATCCCATAATACCGTTATGAATAATAATACAAACTGAAAAGGAAATATGCAACAATAGCATGATTTGCATGATACAGGGTGACCCCCAAAATTGAACCCAGGTGATTTGGAATATTATATTAGAGAGAACATGTAACTTTTGTTCAAAAACGTCCTAGAGTACAATCATTCACAAATGGAAGTAAATTGTTTTTGTAGATAAAATCAAGAAATTTATGGGCCATTTTCTTGGGGTGTCCCTTTATAATAGAATCTATTATTCATGAATATTTTTGTAAAATTATAATTTGGTTCAGCTGACTCCAATAAAATCCTGTCTAGAAACATTCTAGATTCATTGAACACTGCTCCATATAACTATTACCATGTTCAAAACTATGTATAAATGTGGAATTTGATTTATGAAGTTATGATAATATTTTCTTTATCGAAGATTTGTAAATTTGGCTTTTACGTAATTTTTTAATTTTAAGGTTGATGAATTAGTTATGAAGCTGCTTTCAAGCGCTCTACAAATTATTGTATCAAGAATTGCTTTTTAAGAAATACCAAACGTAATGGCCTTAAATAGATCATACTATCGAAGCTGTCTCACTTGTGCTATTTGTATTTAAATAAGTTTAATTAGTTTTTGACATTTCTGCCTAATCCTATTTCCCAAGTCACCTCTAAACTTAAATTCAATAAGGTTTTCTCCGTTAACGTTTCCAATTGCAATCTTGTGGTAGTCAATAAAAACAGAAGTTATTGGATTTGTAGTGAATAATGCATACATTCCTTGCAGAATTCGGGCTCTCAAATCCTCTGGGGAGGCTGTGTCTGGCTTTAGTTCAGCATTGGCCGCTCTTCTCGGTGCAGTGTGCGAGTCTCCTATGGGAATTCCCCACTCAAAAGGAAAGGTCGGTTCTTACGTATTTGTACGACACTTTGTCATTTTTGATGATAAAATTAGATTAAAATAAAAGGGTAATAGAGTCATTGCTATGTTTTTAAGAATAGTGAATTTGGTCACTTTCTGTTATGATATGGGTACTCCGTGGCCGTAGTGTGTGTACCAGGTTGGGGGTTAGGCCATAATTTTATTCCAATTTTCCTTTTGTTAGTTCTATTACGAGTTCGGGGACTGTCTGTTAGCCAAGTGAGTATACTCCCTGTCCATAGGTTTCAGTCTCTTTACACAACTCAAGTAAAGTAGGCGAACAAAATTAGTTACCCCCATATTGGTACACACACTTCTGGAGCGCCATTATATGTGCATGTCCTCAGTTTGATGTGTGCCCTACTTTACATTCTTCTTCTTCTTCAAGGTTATATTTGCCGTAGCTGAAGAGTTGCTGCGAAGTGCTGCACAAAATACAACTTTAACATTGTTCAGAACACAAGCTGGATGGTTGTTGGCCGGGGCTCTTATGACATTAGGCAAGTTCTGCTAGACAGAGTTTCCCTCTAAAAACTATCTAGTCTCTACTTTGACCATGCTAGTAGCCATGGAATGAATGTCTATATGCATAGTTTAATGTTGTGTATTCAATGAATCTATTTTGCAGTAAAACCATAATGTGTTTCTCTAATGAAACGAACAAACTTATAATTTTGCTATGAATAATGGCAAATCGGACCTCCTGAAGTATGCGCATTGCGCACCAAAATGGCGCACAACCTGAACTCAGGTTGTGTACCATGTTATGGGTTCAGGTTGTGGGACATCTTGGTGCGCATACTTCAGGAGTACCGGCAAATCTTGAAAAATATTTTATATTTTAATCATCTAATTTCTTATTGAAAATTATTTGAAAGCAGATATTTGGAATTTTATTAAATCACATTAAATTGATAATTTTTAGAAGGCTGTGGAAAATTACATAAATCACTATATCTTCATGTCGATCACATCTAAAATGACACACATATAAAAAATCATTGTTTTTAATGTGTTGTTTCTTACCATTTGCCCAATAGCTCAAGATTCCCTTTTTTTAAATGACAATGTTCTAAATTATTCCTAAATTCAAAAATTTACTGTATCGAATGTAATAAATTTTGAATGTAATCAAATATTCAATTTGTTATGGACGTCCCTGACTGTTACTAGAAAACTGCTAATTTATTAATGAATGTATTTTATACTTCAGGTCCTGCGATTGTACGTCACCATTTGACGAAGTTGTTGTTATTATGGAAAACAGCATTTCCTAGATCTATGAGAGAGCTAGACCAAGAAAGACAGCGTGGGGATGCTTTTACATGGCAGTTGACTTTGGAGGCTAGATCTGGAGCTTTGTGTGGTATTTAAATAATAATATTGTGATTGTTGATTAATTTTGCAAAAAAAATTCAGGTTGTGAGATATTAGTATTCTAGAAGAATCGGCTGTTTAATTCACTGGTTCTCGAACTTTTTGGGCAGCGCCCTCATTTTAGAATTTGTCATGTCTCGCGCCTCACCTCAAAAATAACTAGCTAACAATAAGCTACAAATAACAGATAGTAAGGCGAAAGTATGTTTTATTCAGAAAACACGTTGAAAATATGTGGATAGAACGTAAATATCCAAAATGAAGAAATGCAATTATCCAAAATTACAGGGAAGATTTAATTTAACAAATATTTCATTTTTAATTAGTTTCACGCCCCTCCAAATATTTTCTACGTCCTCATAGTGGGGCGCTCCCCACCATTTGAGAATAACTGGTCTAAATAGCATATTTCTGTGTAGGTCGCTATTTACTGCTGTGCTGTGGTGAGCCATCTGACCTCCATATACTGGAGCATTGCTGGAGTTGTTAAATCATTTCTGGACGAAGCCTTCTTTTATTTGATTAGCATTTTCATTGTTCGTATCCTAACAAGTGTTCAAGCAATAACAACTTATTCAATATTTTTGCTTGTTCTACTGTGCTTGTGCAAATGAATACTTTTTATTGTAGCAATGAGGAGCTTTGTTGCAAATTGTGGAGAACTATTAACTGAAGAAGTCACTAGAAAATTGATGATTCCACTTGAAAGTGCCATGGCAATGATGTCCATGTAAGTAGATTGGCTTTTTAAACATATTTTCCTTAATAGAAATTCGATGAAATATCAAACTTTGCTGAGAACAAAAACATTCAAAATGGTTCATGTTCAACAACGAATATGTAAAATCTATATTCAACGAGTTAAAGCTAGATAAACAATGATTTGATTGATTATTACTTATCGATCTTTAGATCGGTAAGTATGTTGATAGGTATTTGTCTGTCTGCACGCGATATCTCATGAAGGCGTGGTTGAATCTGCTCCAAATTTTTCATGTGCATTCATCATATCTCGGAACAGAAGTCTGTTATGAATTAAGTCGTATAATTAGCGAGTTAATAATTAATTAGTGATGGGACACGCGGTGTCACTATAGAGTCATGAATCGAAACCGCAGTTTCGATCGATAAGTCTTCGGTCTCCGACCGATATTCTCGTTAATTCATTGCAATCTTATCCAGAGAATAACTATAGGCATTATAATGGTGTAATATCTTCAGCTCGTTTCTAGCAGGCGGCACAATGGGTCGACAGTACATGCTTTTTTAATTGAAAATTTGATATTTGTTTTCACTAGGATACCATTCGTTGTAAATACTCATGGTTTACACTTGAAAGCAAGCGCTGCGATGGTACGATTGAGACTTTATGATATTCTGGCTCTTCTGCCACCGAAGACATATGAAGGTAGATTTTGTGCAACTATTGGTGGTCGTATATAGGTGTATTGGATAAAGTTAAAAATCTTGATAAACACTGATTGAAATAGAACAAACCAGGGGAAGATATATATCAAGAACTGACTTCAAAACAAAATTGAAATTGTAATCGGCCTCTATAAACACCCTGTATATGTTTATAATTTGGCAATGATAAATCATACTTCAGGCCGCCATAAAAATTGAAACATGGCAACCATCCTCAATCTATCTTTTGGATTATTTGTCCACATTGTAGCATGGCCATATTACTTGTGCACCAACCTACTTTTTTTTAATATTTCTACTTTATTTTTTATATCAGGAAGTTTTCATGCGCTTCTAAGAGAGCTTGTTGCCGAATTCACACTAACTGATAATCCAGCGAATACAACCACTTCATTGCTTCGTTCTTTATGTCATAGTGAAGATAGTGTCTTACTCGGATCATGGCTTAAAGTAAGTTGCTAATATTTACAAGCAATGATGGCTAAAACCGAATAATTTACTAAGAGGTGACCCCAAAAAAATGAAGAAAATTTATTTAACACTTCAGTTGTTCAACATCATTCTTTAATTCAAAGTATTATATATAATTTCTAAAATCGAGAATTTGAGTTATCGGATATAACTAATTTTGAATTGATTCGAATATTTTATCAGTTTTGAAATCCCTACTTGGAATACTTACTTTATCTAACTTGGTATTTATAAAACATAGGACACCGATCAAAGCTTAATAGAAGAACAATTGCAAGGTAATAGTGCTTCTGGTTCTGGTGCCTTGGAACATGATCCTACAGCTGTTTATTTACATTCTACACAGGTCAGTCACTCTGTTATATTGGAGAGTTGATAATTTTTTTTTTGACTTTTTATAACATGAATATGTAACTTTGTTTTTTGGATGTTGAAGGAAATTTCCTAATTTTTTTTTCAATTTGATTGGTATTGGTCATGTTGACAGAAAATTGTATTTTTAAAGTACCATTGATGGAATTTATGTTGGGTCTTTCACAATAATGATCTGGACAAGTAGACACCGATGCAGATACAGATTTATCCGGTTTAGACTAGACTACTACCAAAGTTATAACAAAATTGATGAATTGATAACTCTTTTCACTCATATCCAAAATCTTCTTTAAATTTATGAAAACTTAGTGGGGCAGGGACGTAGCCAGGAATTTTCAAAAGGGGGGGATGGGGGGTCTGAAATTCTACTTTTAAAAAAATGTTGGGAGTGGGAGTACTCCCAGTTGTATTGGCCTAGTGGGTAAAGCGCTAGACTCTGGTATGATGGAATCACATGTGAAAATCTCTGCTTAAAACTCGTGCCCAACACCCTACCCGAGTCGAACCGAAAAGATAGTGGTTTTTTCAAACTATAGTAGTCCTCACCTAGCAATGTTTGCTTGTACGGAGCCATGTTGTGAGCAAACGGCAAGGAATAGGGCATATATACATCACTATTCATTTTGTGGAACTGAATCCCTAGATTATATACTATTGTCTCTATTTTCATTTCAGTCTAATGCTGTTCCTGGACCTCTTCCTCTTGGTGTGAGTGTTATTGATGCTGCTATTGCTTTATTTGGTCTCGCGTTTCCTCACGTTGCTGCTAAACACAGACTTCAGATGCTGCGACATTTTGCCGAATGTGTGAAACAAGCAAATAAGAATCTAGTACGACAACGTGCGATTCAAATTAATGTATTCACTGCACTGATATGTGCTTTGAAAGGTTGGTGATCCATTATCCATTATGTTATAATTAAAAAGAATAATTATTTCATGTATGGCATAGCAACAATAGCTCTCGGGGAAACAAAAAACAGAACCCAGGTCATTTAAAACGTATTCCGAAGCAGTGGGGGCCCACGCCCCACCAATGGTTAGTCCATGTCAGGTTTCGGAAAAGGTAATGGGTTATTTGTTTCAGATACATGCATTCACATGTTGGAGGAGTCGTAACCGGATAGCGGTTCTGTGTACTAAGCTGCAACGGCGAGTCCAGCAATCCTCTCGTACACACTTATTACCATGGCAATTATTAGGGAGTATAATTTATTTTCATGTCGTTTTCTATGATCTATATCTTTCCTGAAATATTAGGTCTCGGAGAAAACAAACGCCAGCTAGGACGAGGTGATGTTCTGGATGCGGCAAAAGTACTTGTGACAGAAGCTTTAGCAAGTACTGATCCTACTTTGAGATGTGCCGCAGGAGAAGCTGTTGGTCGAATGGCTCAAGTGACAGATGAAGCAGGATTTGTGTCTCAAACCGCTTTGAAATGTTTTGAAAAGTAAGTGCAGGAGTATTAAATTTAATTTACAAATATTATATTCAAAAAGCTTGTTTTGATTTTCATTCCCGAGGTATTTGAACAACTTAATTACTGTTTTGGCAATGGCTGTCTAGTAGGAAAATTTTTGGTACTTTCATAGTATGTGGGTTTAGGGTTAGGCCATAATTTTATTCCGATTTTCCATATTTTAGTTCTATTACGAGTTTGGGGACTGTCTGTGATAGCCAAGTGAATATACCCCCTGCCCATAGGTTTCAGTACTTTTGCACAACTTGATGTGAAGTATGCGAACAAAATTTAAATAAGTTACCTCCATATTGGTACACATACTACTGGAGCGCCAAATTTTTTTGTATTTTTGTGTTATCAGAATATACAAAATATGTATAGCTAAAATAAGACAAAAATAGTTGTTGACAATGTTTAGTCATTATATGTAAAGATGGTAGTTTGTATACTTCATTTTACTTTATTATTATTTCATTATTAATCCAACGTATTATGTTATTAAAACAGTCACAATATAAGACTACAGTGATGTATAATTGGACGCAAAGCGTACTTTATGTATGCCGTTTTTTGCGAATTTTTTGCTAAATTGTTGTTGTGAAAAAAATTACTTTTTTTGCAACTGATAGACCAAACAGATTTAAATTTTAGTTCTTCAAGATGACAAAAGTCCTGAAAAAATGATATTTTTCTCAAATTCTCTTTTGCTCCCCCTATTTTGCACATATTGTCCCACCTCGTGTCATATTATCTGGCTTTTCTGCCATATCTTCGTCAAACCTGTTGCTCAATCAAGGCCTTACCAGTGACGTATTGCGGTTTGTCGTTTAATTTTCATGTCTATATTTATATTTTTATATATGACTCTTATTCATGCCTTCCGCTCTGAAAAAGATCCTGTAGTAGCAGCCACTATGATTTGTAAGGAGCTTCTATTTTTGAGAGGACCCGAAGCGCTTTGATACGGCATTGCCTGCTCATTTTACATCCCTCTGGGTGTTGTGTTGGTCTAGCGCAGAGCTGACGAACCTGCGGCCCGCGGGCCACATGTGGCCCGCCAAGAACTTTCGTGTGGCCCATGAAACATTCAGGCAATTCAGTGTATGTTTGGCGTAAAGTCACAAACCTCCAAAAACTACAGAGAGAACTTCTGCTCAATGATTAAAACAATGGTAGATCTCATGCCTACGTTTTAAAAATCAGTTAATCGTGATTAAAAGGATTCGTTTACAATTTTTGTATCCGAAGGCCTGCGAAATACGGATCTTTGTACACCCCCCCCCCCCCAAATGTAATTTCCCGAAATACTTTTCTGAGGCATTATCAACCAGAATTTTGCATATTAACGCGACACTAAATGTCATGAAGGAAGATTAAATAATGCGTAGTTTGATATTACCATTGGGGGAAAGGGTAAATCGTAACGAATCCTATAATTTTTATGCAACTGTCGACGCAATTAGGTAGGCCACTCGTGAAAAGAGCCCACATAATGTTTTTTACTGTTATGTTGTCGTTTAGCGATTTTGCAGTTGTGCAAAGTATTTTATTGGCGACCATTAGGAGTCTATTTTTAATTTATTGCTTTCTAACTTTAATTCTGTGTTTAATGTAACATGCGGCTGCGTCTACAAATTGAGAACATTACTATGATGAAATATCACATCAATCCATGGCCATAAAAAGTGTTTCCAACTACCCGATTATATTTAGTTTTGATTTATATTTTTGCGATGTTACGAATTATTTATACAAATATGATGTTCTTGCATCACTGACTGTCTCTATCACTAGATATTTATATCAACGCCCGAGAAATCCCTAGACCTGCTATAAAATATCAAAGACTACAATTTATCCCAATCAGTACATTATAAATTGATTTTGCATTAATATGCAGGTAGTGGACTCAAACTTTCGTGTTAAAAATGCTGTGGTATTAGAATGGAAATTCGGATCTCGAACATCCGAGCCGAGCGTTTATATTGCATTATATAATTGAATAACATCAGCTGTATGGATGCCGTTGTTCGTTTTGTAGATGAAAATCAATAGGTATCATACGGTAGTACGACTAAAAATTGTGCGGCCCGCTCACTCAGCGGTGACTGATAAAGTGGCTGCGACAGCAGATGGGTTCGTCACCCCTGGACTAGCGTCTAACGCTTTTAACTGCCAAACCACCACGCATTGCATGACGACATTCTTATTTTTAGATTGAAGACATCTAGAGATGTTATATCAAGGACTGGTCATTCATTATCATTAGGTTGTGTACATCGTTATGTTGGTGGAATTGGGTCTGGTCAGCATCTACGTACAAGTGTCGGAATATTACTTGCACTTGCACAAGATCATAACTCACCAGAAGTACAGGTCAGTGGATATATTTACCGGTCATTGCTTATTATCAATTTAAAGTCAATAATAATATTCAGACGTTTTGGTTATATTGGATTGCTTCGTTCGGACTATTTTTTGAGGGGGTGTTAAGGTGATTGCTCTTGACCGCCTTATTTTGGATACTTACCGTACATTTCTTTTTTCTAGATTTCATACACATATTTTCAACGTGTTTTCTGAATAAAACAAACTTTCGCCTTACTATCTGTTATTTATAGCATATTGTTAGATAGGTATTTGAAGTGGGGGGCGATACTTGACAAATTCTATAAAAGGGACGCGGCTTAAAAAGTTTGAGATCCACTGCAATAGACCATTCTCTATTTTTTACTTTTCCAATGTAATTTTAAACTGTTTTAAGGTTTGGGCATTACATGCCCTCGCACTTATTGTTGATGCTTTTGGGCCAATGTTTCGAGCTTATGTTGAACCTTCCTTGCAAGCTATACTTTCATTGCTATTATCTGTTGCCTCAAGTCATGTACAAGTACACAGATGTTTGGGAAGATGTCTCACTGCTCTTATAACTACATTGGGTCCCGAGTTACAAGGTATAGCTTGAATTGCTTTTTTCTATGACTGTGGACTGCATTTATTCCGATTTTTCTTTATTCTAGTTCTACTATTCTAGTTCGGGGACCAGTCGTATTAGCCAAGTGAATATACTCCCTGTCCATAGGTTTCAGTCCCTTTACACAACTTGATGTGAAATAGGGGAACAAAATTAGTTACCTCCATACTGGTACGCATACTTCTGAAGCGCCAGCATAAATATAGTTTTTATTGATTTTTGAATGTTTTCACATTGGCAATTGGTCTCCTTAGAGATAAGACCCTTTTTCTGAACTAGTGTCTGTAACCTTGCTTTAAGCAAATTTTTTTATGCATATGGTATGTGTTTTAGTATGATTATATGTTTCGTTTAAAATTAAACTTAATCAACAGTGTGTTTCTTATATTTCAGGGAATACTAGCTCAGTGTCATCTGCTAGGTCGTCATGTCTCACTTCTTGCTTTATAATGTCGAATCATTATGATGCCCAGGTAGGTTTATTTTTTATATGTTGTTGTTTTTAAATTTTTAGATGGTATCATTTCAATTATTGATTTATCTGATTTTGATTCATTTTTTGACTCAGAATTTTCATTTTTATTCAGGTTCAAGCAGAAGCAATCTCTTGTTTACAACAACTTCATATGTTTGCACCTAGACATGTAGAGCTTTCAACACTTGTTCCTAGATTATGTGTGAGTATTTGAGTTTTAAGTATTGCTTTTGGTGCTTCAGAAGTGTGTGTATTTATGTGGATGGAGGTAACTAATATTGTTGGCCTACTTTACATCAAGTTATGTGAAGGCACTGAAACCTCTGGCTCACACAGACAGTCCCCGAACTCGAAAAACTAAAATAAGGAAACACACACTACAGGAATACCTTGATTTTTTACCCAGGGGTGTAATAAATTGGGTAAGCAATGCCAAACCAGAAAGATTCCATTTTTTTTCAAATATAAGTAGCTCCTCACATATCGTGAGATATCAGTGGCTGCTTGTTTAGTTCCTTATTTGGAGGAAATAGCAATGTGTCATGTTATTATTACAGGAAGATTTATCAAGTTGGCATCTGGTTCTCCGACGATCTGCCGTATCGTGTCTCCGTCAACTCGCTCAAAAAGAATCAACAGAAGTTTGTGAAATTGCTGCGAAAACAACTGAACGTTTAGCAAAAATGACAAAGAAGCATTCGAACTATGGAGTAAAAGTAGGAGACACCGGTATGTTATGTTTATTCACATATCACATTACTTTTTTGCTTATTTGACTCCATTTTTTGTTTGTTTTTGCCATTGGCTTGTGATAAATGACAAATCATGACAAGAGTATAAAATTAAAAACATTGCTTTTGTTGTGTAGTATTAGTATCTGACATTATTATTTTTTGTGTTATTCAGTAATATCTATTCAAATTCAAAGTCTATTCTTTTTGTGGAAAATATTGATATTTGCTTGACATATTTCAGTAGGTTTTAATACGGTATTACAAAAGGCATCGTCCAACTTCACTAATTTTTAATAACTTTCATATAATCATCAAAATATACTATGAACTACTGTTTTAGAAGTAATCTTTACGTTTCGACATTAAATAGAAACCGGTAAGCGGGACTGTAGGATGCGGTTCCATTACATTTGAACCCATGACAATTGCACCTGTATGCCTATGGAATTTTTTTTGTTTCACGGATAGTTAAACCCATACTAACCCTAACCCATGGGTTTTAGCACCCGCATATAGATTGAACCCGTGGATATACGCATGGGTTCAAATGTACATGGGTTCAAATGTACGGTCATCGTAGGATGCTATCAAATTTATTATTGACGGATTCGGACTCAAACTCATAACACAAAAGATAGAACTGAATTTTTATGAAGACTGGAATTCCCAATATCAATAAACCCAGGGCTGTTCATTGCCAAACTTTCAGGATCCTTGGCTTCCTTTCAAAAACTCTCAACACTTGTGGCTCCCTGCTCTTCTATGAGAATATCTAGTTTCCGTCGGGTATTTTATGCGCCATGAAAGCAAAAAAATAAAAGCGTTACAATCGAAGAATTAAACAAATCAGTCAATTTGCTTTAAATTAATGTGGACATTGCGTTAAGAACACATTGAAGGCTCTTGATGTCTCTTCAAAAAGAAGAGCACTGTGGCCGAAGACCCGGTTTGGGAAACCCTGAACTAACTAGTCCATCAAGTCCATATAAGAAGAATTATATCTGCTATCATATTTTTGGATTGCATTGAATAAATATTCATTCTTTTTATATAAAGGTCTGGAAGGAGCTCTGTTTGCGCTACTGGATCACGAATGTGATACAATGATAATGTCTGATACAAGGGATACACTCAATCATATTCTACATTCTATGGCATTAGGCAGACTTGGATTCTGGTTGCCACTCTGTAAATCTGTGCTTGCTGCTTCTACAGGTAGGTGTTTTGATTTACATATGGTAATCTTAATAATAAAATTGTAGGAATGCGGGCTTGGCGTGTGGCGAATCGTGCGTTAGGAGTACACTCGCCACCGCACCTCTGATTACCCTGCGTGGCTTTGTAGGTTCGAATCCTGTGGGGGAAATTTATGCATGAGAGGACTGCTGGTCTCCTCGTTGCTGTAGGGTCGTTCACGCAACTGCTGGTCGGTTACGGCCTCCTCCACCCTCAAGTCCATAAACTGGTCGGACGAGAGGCTGTGAATGAGGTCATATGATTGAGCCATCTTATCACCTTTTCTCTCCCCTAGGATAAATATGTAAATCCTATCCTATTTTAAATCCTTTTAATTTGTATAGTTTGGTATTTTAAAAACATGATTTACAAGTTTTTTTAGTTTTTTATCTTGGCAAGTAATAAGCTCACTTGCGGTGATGAGTACTGTTATAAACTATTGATATAATCAATGCATCCATTATATTCAAAATTAAACTGAAGAAACAAGCATTAATTTGAATTATCTGAATGCATTATGTAAAACTGTTTTCAAATTTTATTTCAACTACCGGTAAACTATAAATATCCCTTGATTTGATATACACTGAAATGAAAATATGCCTCATTTGTCTTGCAATAAAATTCCCTTAAAACTTTGATATCGTAAAAAAGTATTCAATTTTGGTCTAGAAATTTGAGACATTGAAAATTTGAAAATACATATTCAAAGATCGGAACCAAGATAATAAAAAAGTGTCAGTCATTGGTTCAACAGCTTTCTTTAACACTTTCACATTTTTTTGACTTTTAGATACATCAGCATTGGGGCCCGTTGATCCTCAACAACCAGAAAATGAAGATAAAGATGATGATGATGATGTGGCAACATTCACAAAAGGAAAAAAGGAAGAAAAATCGGTTAGTTAAAATTCTATCGAAAGTCATTAAAATATATATATTACACCAGAGATACTCAATTATTCGAACTCGCAATACATAGCTTGCGTGACGTTTCCACACCTACATTCCGATCAAAGCTCTGTCACTAACTAGTAAGGATCTACTATTTTCGGTACTCCGATAGTGTGTACCAGTGTTCACTATTAGCGCACTTTTTTGCGAAAATTGCGAAGCACTTTCGCAACTTTTTTTAGGGACTGCGAAATAGCACTTTTTTCCGATTTTGAAGAGAAATAGCACTTTTTTCCGATTTTGAATGGAATAAAAATTCAAAGTTAACAAATATTTTCGAGTATTAAGTTACTGGTACTTTTGTAACTCAATTCTGCATATTATAACGATATTTCCGGAATTCTAACCTATGAGATGCAGACATAGGAGATAAAGCTTTTGCATTAACGGCAAAATTCTTGTTTATAATATGATTATTTTACAAGCACAGGGATTCCGCTTCTCCCGCAAAAAACGCTCCCCGGCCTTTCTTTGAACCAGAGTGGTCATGTGACTATCGATGATATCGGTGAATTCAAATTGACTATAAAAAGTGTTAGTAACCTGTTATAGTCACTTTGGATGAATTGTGACCAAACTGCACGATTTTCAAATCAGACGAAACTTTTAGCAGCATGTCACAGATTTGCAAAATCAACAAATTCACAAAATACCATTAAGTGCCATTTTATTGTAATCACAATGTTGAAAGGACGTGGCATTTTCCGGAATTTTGCGATATTTACACAACTATTTCTCATTGATATGCGAGGAGGGGTGGGCAAAATTCAATATTTTTTTAAATCGAATATTTTTAAGGAGTATCGAATAAACGTGGTGGAAACATTAAAAAATCGGCAACAAAGACTTTTTACTGGTTAATTCCGTCGTAATCGCTAATTGTTCTTGTCACCGATCGTTTTGGCGGCGATATCCAGGTTTTGGGTAATCTATATTCCCGCCCTCTCTTTTTTACAAATATGAATTCTTGTGGGTCGGCGGACATCGAAGTTTTATATTTCGGGTTTACCCGTTCGTTCACATCGGCAACAGCTGTTGAAGACATTGAGGACTCAAATTAACATTTGCGCTGGCTTCAATATTACCTATCAAGATTTGTAAATTTACCGTCCCAGTTTTATGCGAATGGTAATATTATTGTCCATACCGTGATGCAGATATTTATTAAGACGATAATTAACTTTCTCATGTATTTCTATGGTGATAAACTTCGCAAATCTGAAATTGTGCCAATCCTGAATGTTGATTTGAAATAGTGATTGAATAATTCGGCTATAAAGGCATTTCTGCGTGGTCATAAGACGAGATGACGTTAATGAACAGCACTTCTTTTACAGGATATTTTACGTATGCGACTTAATGCTAAAAAGATTGGGCTCGAGTGCTTTTTTTTTCGAGTGCTCGAGTGCCTAATAGAGGTCAGGCGCTAATTGTAACTAATTCCCTCAAGTTTCAACATGTTTTCAACAAAACGATACCCCGGCGATAATTATAGCTAAAATGTTACCGAGCAATTCACAATTTTATTTATGGAATTTGCAAATTCACCAGTTTCTTGACGATTTTGATGTTGTCACGCCCTAATTATTAGTGCAAAAATACTCCCCTTCTTCCGCGGCGGTTTGACGGGTTCTTTGTTCCATTCTTCAGAAAGTTCTGACACAGGGATATAGAATACTGAATCCGAATCCCTGTCCACTTACTGGTGATTTTCCGTTTTGAAATGCGTGAACACTCTCTATTTTAAATTAAATGACGTTTCGCGGGCTAGAGTTCTCCCCGAAAATGATGTGTTCCAGACGTTAGTTAGACGATAGATAAAACATTTAAATTAATAATTTTCGTGACGCCCGTTTTCGAAAATACAAAGTTATATCGCAAAAAATGCGTTATGATACATTTGGAATGAAACATTATTTACGGTGAATTTAGATCATATTTTGCTACATTTTGTTACATTTAAAATAAAACATTTTGCGATTAATTTAGATCATATTTTTACTTTTCAGGAAACCCGTTTTCGAAAATACAAGGTTATATCGCAAAATGTGTTTTGTTACATTATAAAATAAAACATTTTTGCAATTACTTTAGATCAAATTTTACCTTTCACGGCAACACGTTTTCGAAAATACAAAGTTATATCACAAAAAATGCGTTTTGTTACATTTATTTTGCATTCCCAATAAAATACATATTTTCCCTAGTTAAGGTCTTCGATGAATCTGTTCCTGTCGTTCAAGCTCGACACACGTTTGGACGAGTGTGGGGCGGTTTTTTGATCGACGATAAATTAAAAAGTTGCCACACGTTATTTGTATAACGATAATAACTGAAAATTAAGATTTTATAATAGAAGTGAATTTGTCTCAAGATGGTATTTTACAATTCCTGCCCACGGAAAATAAACACGCTGACAGGCTTGGTTATAATTGATATTCGTTTAATTTATTTTACACTATTAATAAACGCGCCACACCAATTGCGACCATATAAATTGCCAGTCGCATCGTTATGGACTGTATGTTTTTGGCGCTCTCAAATTAATAATAATTTTCAACAAAACAATACCCGACGGTCATTAAAGCTGAATTCGTTACCGAATAATTCGCAATTTTATTTACGGAATTTGCAATTTCAAGATCTCACTTGACGATTTTGATGATATCATGCCCTAATTATTACTGCTTAAATGCCTCAAAATACAGCAAATGTAATAATTTTCGACGATAACAGGCGCAACAATTCGTAACGAGCCGTTATAACGAAATTCCGCGATTGATTTTACCTCTCTCTTGTTTACAATTTTAACATCCCGCCGGCCATGTATGGTCGAATAAAATGTTCACATATTCGAAACATGACTTGCCAAGGATGGAAGGGATCACTAAAGAGCTAATAGAAAGTACATACGCGAGGGTATGAATATTAATATCGAGAATATTTGAGCATATCACAGGACGGAAATATTTTGCACCCCGCTGTTTGTTGGCAGAACAACGATACGCTAAAGTTAATTGATCGAATACAGGGAAGTATTTATTTATCATCTCACTTGCGAACATCGAGGTTTTGGCGGAATTGTACGATCATGTTGTCTTTCTTAAATAATAACTTTTTCAATAAATGTTCATTTTACTTTTGCGTCTTTATTATATGTCTGGTTTTTTAGGCTTCCCGCTGCTTGTCAGCAGGGAACCTATTGTATTCCTGTGTTTTATCATTATTATTTATTATTATTATTATTATTATGTTTGTTAAATTTATTCACAGTTCTTTGACTGGTGTAATTTTCTTGAATCGAGACACGTCCCGCGTCCTTAGATTTCAGAACCCTTCTCAGTATTCTTGCACTTCCCAAAAGAGCCGCCTTTTGCAAAGATTCCAATCTATTAGGCAAATTCATATCTTTTAAATTATTATTATTATTATTATTATTTTTTTTTTTCCAAATTGGTCCTACAAACTTTAAATTCACCTCAATGTGCAGAAGTTCCTCAGCTAGCATAAATGCAAATTTTATGCATGACTGACCACGCTTTCACGCTCCAGTGAGCAAACGCGTTTTCAGTTTTTTTTGCAATTTCTCAAATTGATACATGGTATTGGGTTGAAATTCATAACAATGATTAATGGACTGTTCCGGATACAATATGTCAAGGATAAGCATGAGTGACCTCGGCGATACGCTCCAGTGAGAATATAGGATTTTACATTTTCATCTTCTTCTCGAGAAGGACACTACTTAGAGACTTGAAATTTACATCACATGCAGATAATATGTCCCCATCATAAAATTGCCAAATTTTATGCATGACTGACCACGCCTTCACGCTCCAGTGAGCAAAACGCGTCTTCAGTTTTTTTTTGCGATTCCTCAAAATTGATACATGGTATTGGGTTGAAATTCATAACAATGATTAATGGACATGTTCGGATACAATATGTCAAGGATACGCATGAGAGACCTCGGCGATACGCTCCAGTGAGCGATATAGGATTTTACATTTTCATCTTCTTCTCGAGAACGACACTACTTCGAGACTTGAAATTTACATCACATGCAGATAATGAATTCCCCATCATAAACTGCAAAATTTTAATGCATGACTGACCCACGCTTTCACGCTCCAGTGAGGCAAAACGCGTCTTCAGTTTTTTTTACGCGGGAAGCCTGTTAAAGCTGCACGCAGCTCTAGTTTTTTAAATTCGAAATTGTCCGAAATACTCCAACAGGTGTATAGGTACCAATATATAGTTCTTACAAAGTACACACCAGGAAGTTTAACACACGATGTGTAAAGGGCGTCGTAACTCCCGTTTATTAATTATAAATTTTTTACATTCTGCTTAAAAAACAATGGCAGTCATCCTCACGTAACTTCGCACCAAATCTTTTTTGTTTTTATGGCATCGTCTGGCGCACGAATTTATTGCTGATGAATTTTAATTGTGTTTTAGTTAGTTTTTTCTGTTTGTTGGTTCTAAAATTTACAAACTTGGGTAGCAATTACTATAATGTGAGATTTGTGCATATGAACGATTGAATATCGCGACTGGATATCCGATATCTGAGAATGCGTAATTCTCTTTCAACATTAATTTTCAGGATATCAGCGTTCATGTGGTCGAATAAAAATTATTTATCAAATGGATTGGTATTTCGAGACACTCTCAAATTATTTGGGATCCATTATCATATCATTCGTTTATTTTTATATTCATGTTTTCTCAAGAATCACCTCGTTATATTTAGTGTACCTTCGCAAAAGAAAACTCTTTGATGTCATCGTTCCTATTTAGTGTAATTGAAATATATGGAAACCTCGCAAGTGGCGTGTGATGCGAATATTTGATACTAGGTCAGCAGCATTACAAAGAGTGCTATTTATGAATGCTGAAAGTACATGACATTACTAAACATTTTGCCAATATCTGATGTTTTCTGCCTGATTTAAACTAACTTCGCACGCAAACCAAGGCATGTGGACATTTAAAAATTACTTTCTTTGGGTAAGCTCTGAAATAGTATAATATAAATGTAAATGAGAATTAGGTCACGCTTAGCTCACGAAACGGGAGATTTTCAAAGTGATCTTGTGTAATATTTCGGAGAAAAAAAGTTTGAAAGGAAAGTAGGTCAACCTATCTCCTAATACAGGGAGTATCCTGCATAAATATTTCGGAAGGAAGGTAGGTTAACCTATCTTTTAAAACAGCGGGTGGCGACTTTCAAAGTGGTTCAAAATCACAAAATTTAATAATTATCAGAATAGGTTTAGGGATGAATCGAAAGTTGAATTCTAGCTTCTATTATTTGCACCGGATTTGTACAAACGGATCCACCTGTAAACTAATATGGTTTCCAGCCGGCCTGTGTCTGTTAGATGGAAGGAGTAACAAATGTGAAAGTCTTTGCTGTTTACGGCGAGTAAGCAACTGACACCATGATACATTGCATGAAAGTTTTGTCCGCGGCAGGTGTTAGCAGATGTCATTTCGTTGCCGATGAATTCGCTTGTTTTAATTAAACATGAATTCGCTTAAAGGGAACCCTGTTAACGAAAAGGCTTCTCTTTAATTCATAATATTAACCGGAGGAGCGCTTTTTCGAGTATCTATGCTGTTTTAAATGGGTTTTATGAAAGGCTAGGGCACCTAACTTGTTAAAATCGGCAAAAGCACTTTCGCACTTTTTTTTTGGACTGCGAAGCACTTTCGCACTCATAATTTGCTTAGAGTTAACACTGGTGTGTACTCACCCCAACCCCCCTTTGAAACTTTCTGGCTACGCCCTTGAGTTTGGGTACTGTATAACACTGTAATACAAGAAAAAAATTTTTTTAAAATTTTGTGCAATGTTCAGGATTCAATTCCTCCTCGATGGTCCACACGAGTATTTGCCGTGGAATGTGTCCGGAAAATTACAACTGCTTGTCGTCAACCTGGCGCCCCTCCTGCACATTTTGATTTACAGATTGCTCGTAGTGTGGTTAGAAGTGGTGGTGAAGGTAATGATAATATCTCTTACTAGTTTAGAACCCGATTCCAATTGAATAACAGGTTCTCAAATTATTTTTGTTCAGTTAGTATCAGAATAAAATGATATTTTTAAATGGAAACAATATCGAATGAATTTCTGTGCTGCCGGTAAAGATAAAGCAATAAGCAACATTGTGCCTTAAGTTTCATGATTTAACGACCAGGTCACAGTGGCCATGTCATACTGTTATAATGAATTTTCCAGATTTCCATCTCATATATTTTACTCATTTCAGGTGATTTTCTTGTTCTTCATTTATCTGACCTAGTCCGTATGGCATTCATGGCAGCAACTGACACAAGTGCTCAATTAAGAATGGCTGGGCTTGAAGCTTTACAGGTAACTGTGGATATTCGACTTTGTTGATTTATACAAGCAATTGATAACAAATGAATTATATTTTTTCGTTCAGGATGTTATAAAATATTTCAAAGATGTTCCAGAACCAGAGTTTCCTGGTGCTGTCATATTGGAACAATTTCAAGCAAATGTAAGTTTTTTGTATTTTTTTTTCACTGAAGCTCAATCATCTGAACTATTCGTGCTTTGTGTTTGGAATACATTCATAGATATGTTGCTCTACAGTAAGCTGAATTTTGGTTCGAGAGAATTTTGTCCTGTTATCGCAGCTTAAATACGATGGAATAACTTTAACCACTCAATGCGGATATTATTTCTGAAAAATTCTTATTGAAGGCGTAGTTCTAAAGCAAATAAAGTTTGCGTCGTCGTTAATGGCAGATCTAGCTTTGATTTTATTCATCTTCAAGCAATTGTATGATAGACTTCATTTGAAAGTCAAAAGAAAATATGGGGGTGTAAACATACACATTGCATTGGAAATGTCAAAACGAATGGCGCTCCACAAGTGTGTGTACCAATATGTAGGTAACTAATTTTGTTCGCCTATCTTATATCTAGTTGTGTAAAAGGACTGAAACCTATGGGCAGGGGGTATATTCACTTGGCTAACACAGACAGTCCCCGAACTTGTAATAGAACTAAAAGAAGGAAAATCAGAATGAAATTATGGCCTAACCCTAACCTGGTACACACACTACAGGAGTACCAAACAAACTGGTTACACAGGTCTTTAGTTTAATCTAGGTTGATGAAAATTGAAATTCGACCACCAGTTTTTTAATTGATATAGCTGGATCTATGTAATATGACTGTTTATATTTGTTGTCAAGTTTATTTAGTCATATTTAATCTAGTCTGTTTTATGAATATAAAAGAACTATTCAACGTTTTATGAAATAAAATCAGGATTGGTATGTGATTTTATTGTTTTCATCACAAAATTCATGTTTTTCATTTTGGTATCTTTTACATCCTAGGTTGGTGCAGCACTTCGTCCTGCTTTCACCCAATCTGCAGATTCATCTCATGAAGTTACAGCTCGTGCATGTGAAGTATGCAGTGCTTGGTTGGCTAGCGGAGTTGTCAGTGATCTCAATGATTTGAAGAGAGTACACTCACTTCTTGTGTCCAGTTTAGATTCAGTAAGTTCTTCCAAATATACATTATGTATATCCGGGTTTAAATGCGAGAATATACAGTAATTCATTTAAGTTGAAGATGTGAAATTGATTCCTCAATACTATGTTTATTGAACTATATGATATTCTTTATTTTAGATGACTAAACCCAGTAATTCCTCTGGACAACTGTATAGTGAAAGTGCTTCGACAATGGAAAAACTTGCAGTTTTAAAGGCCTGGGCAGAGGTATGTTGTGTCTGTTTTAGACGAGGAGTATAGGAAAGAATATTATATTTAACGAAGGGTATTATTATTGTGATCATATTTTTGATAATCCAATTTTCTGAAATAACATTTTCGATGAGAATTTTTGCTTAAAAAATACAGGGTGAATCATAAAAACAGAACCATTGAATTTCTTAGTCACTTTTACGAAATTAAAGGAGATTTAAACACTTGAACTACTGTTTGTGTATGATTATGCCCGAAAGTTTCAGTGTAGGACGCTCTCACATATGAACCTTTCTGTCATTATGGAACCCCTGATATGCTCTTCGGGATCATTACAGAACCCACATTAACAATTATTCAAAAATACCCATGAATGTATTAATAGGATGCAAGCACCCTGACTAGTTTCTTGCGGAACCTTGATTGCTCTAGAACAGGGATCTGCGGCTGCGGCCCTAAGAGAAAATTGTGCTGCCCGCGGAAATGTGCCAATTTTGAATTGTGTGCAACCCGCCGAACTAGTTTTTAATTTGGTTTAATCTGGTTTGTATGAATAATCCCAATACGTTACAATGCCCTAACAGCTAGCTTGTGCGAATTGAAAAACGTATGTCGTAAAATCAACAACCAAAATTTTTGTGCTTTAAACCAGGGGTGTGCAACCTTTTTCGCAGGCGGGCCAAATATCGATAACTGGGCAAAACCGCGGGCCGCATTTTCATTATGGATTTTTTATTAGTTGCAGGCACGAAATAGTGTATTTTTGATATTGATCTCATGGTCCTTACAGAAATGATGAGTTAAAACGCATTAATAAGTTCTTAGAACTGTAATTTAAAGATATGTATTGTTGCACCCAATTTAAACGAATTCAGTGAGAAATTTGCTGCTGGATTCTTTTCCCGACTACTTTTATCCAAATTTGCCTAAATGGAAGTGCTAGCAATTTGATGCGACGCCCATTTTAGAACAAAAATATATTACCGAAAAGTGCCATATTTGAGAGGCGCAGTTCTTACCACTTCATGGCAGCTCCTGCCACGAACGAACCGCGGCAGCTCTTGCCATGGTTTTATAGCGCTTTTCAGTATTTAGTAATCAGTATTAACGGTATATTCACAAATTAATGTATCAGATTTTAATTGATCATGCGGAATTATATCTACTTAAACCCTAACCCCAAATCCATCAAAACTGTTTCCAACTTTGTCAATATTCCAATATTTGTCACCATAAGGGACAGCCCTGTCTTTACGGCCCACCTGCCGTGGTTACGGCAGCAAAATTTCACCTGCCATTGGTTTTCAATTTGCTGCAGCGGTAACGGCAGCTCGTCATTGGTTTGTGGCAGCTAAAAAGTCAGTCGCCATAGGTTTGGCCGTAGCGGCCATGTTATGGAAATACCGCCATGGTTTTGCGGCAGCTGCAGCCGCCACAAAATACCTAAAACTGCACTTGATATTTGAAGCCATGACTTTTTCAAATGTGGGAAGTAACTTGATTGAGAAGTTTTCAGTAAAATGCACCAAGTTTCATTTCCATAATTTGCTGTCAAATTATTCTAGGTTCGATTTAGACAACATCAACTGATAGGCTGGAAGTCTGGAACCCAAACTCATTTAGCTATTTTATCTTTTAATATTAGAAGTTTTCAAACTGCTATTCAGTTGCCTCCGCAGGCACATTTTTCCCTTGCGGGCTGCATTTGGCCCCCAGGGCCGCACTTTGCACACCCCTGCTTTAAACTACTAGAAAGCCTATGTTAAATGAAGGTGCGGCCCAGTTCTCCCAGTTATACTTCTCTATAGAAGGTTGCACACTGCTGCTCTACAATCTATTTCAAATGACCTGGGTTCTGCTTTTTCTTGTTGCCCTGTATAATGCCGTATTAAACATTATATTCCATATTTTGTTCTGTATTTGAACAGGTGTACATTGTAGCGAAGCAGCAAGCAAAGAATAGTTCGCAACGAAAAGTGAAATCTGCTCAAGAAAATAATGAGAGTTTATTAACATTAGTAGAACCTCATCTACCTATATTATCATCGTTATGGATGAAAGTGCTGAGGGATCTTGCTCTTCTAAGACTACCTAGAGAATTTCACACTCACATGCCAAAAGAAGGTAGGTTGATTTTGTTTTGTATTTATTGGTGGCAAAAAAACAAGTCTTTTGATAATAGAATACATCGGTTAGTTAAGTAGACCAGTAAGATATGCACAGCTACTCTTATTTCTCATCAGTTATGCATGATTGCAGCTTTGTTCATCATGTGGTTGTGAATTTTCTGTCTCCTTTCTGGCATGAGCTAGTTGTGTTTTCAATCTTTCTCATTTGTGCAAGAGTACGCATGTAATAGGAGTATTGCAGCGACTTCTTTATTTACTATCTCAAACCAGTGACTAACAAAAACATGACAAGAACAAAACATGTTGAGAATGACACTCATATGAGTGGTCATATGATTTGGAGTAGTGGTCAGCAAACTGTGGGTCACCGCCCATCACTTGCCTCTGATCTTTTCTATTGGATCTCCAATAAATTTCAATTATGGCAGCGATAAAAAAAAGGATTTATAAATGCAACATTACATATAAATTTTTTGCCAAATGGTTTTAGTTTAAATATCAAACGATTATACATTACGTTCATTTCAACTAAACATATTAAATGTTCCTTATCAAGTATACTATGGTTAAATTCAAAATTTCCAACGAAATTCTTTGACCTTGAAATTTTTTTTATTTTGCTATTTGAGCCTCACTAAGAAAAACTTCACCGACCACTGGTTTAAAAACACATAATGATATAAAAACACATGTAGCCTACTCCACACATAATGATATAAAAACACATATACTCCACACATGTCGATTCTTTACTGCTTCCTTCATCTTTCAAGTTTATGTATCGGATATATTAAATGATCAGTCATTTCCATAGTGTCTGTGACTGCTGACAATGGCTGAATGTCACTGTAGGATTAAGCCATCTTAACTTTCCTCTATATTCACTGGAATAAACATGAAAATTCAATTTGAAAATTACTTTTCCTATATTCCCTTTATAGAAGTTACAATACATAGATTACTACCGTGTTTCCCGATAAAAATAAGACTGAGGCTGAATTTTAAAATATGATTTTGATATTAACCCTCTCCTTAAAAAAAGACCCGAATATGTTTAGCATTTTTTTTTTAAATAAAAATTGTGTTATTTATGAGAAGGATATGGGTTTACATATTTTTTTATATTTGAAAATCTAGTAATTCCCTACTTTGTTCTTTTGTTTCTAATGAATGAAATTAAAAGACATCCACCAAAAATAAGCCCAAGTGTGATTTTTCGAAAGAAAATTGAAATAATATCCTGTCTTTTTTCGGGTAAAGACGGTAGACTTATTTTGCATAGAAATTCTGTTGACAAGTAATAATGAGTATTGTAAAGGCATCATTTGAGGGCTGTTAGTGTACTAAAACAATCTTTTTCATTTAGGTGGGGCATTTTTTACTCCAGAATCTATGGCAGCTGTTCGACCACATTATGCTAAGTCATGGACCCCAATCATACATGCTGCATCGGTATGGTTAAAAGCTGAAGAGTTTGTGAAAGAGAAAATACAAAACAGCGAAACGTCTTCAGATGACGAAGAAGATCAAAAAACAGATCACAACCAGAGTGTTAGTGATGAAACAAAAGCTCAAATTCATTTAATTATGGGTAAGTTGAAGTTTATAAATTTAATTATTTAACCGGGGGCGTAGCCAGAATTTTCAAGGAGGGGGGGGGGGGGGGAGGGCTCTAGATGGGAATCAAAATTCCAGTGCAATGACTTCAAAAACGGGTGCCTTGATCACGCAACTCGGTAAAATAGACTTTTTCAGCGAATATTGATTTTTTTTAAAAGCAACAGCGGATGAAAACAATTGCCGGTTTTAACAAAATCTGATTGCACACATTAGTAGCGACTTTTTCAGCTTTCCAAAATATTTCAAAACGGGGGGGTTCCAACCTGCGAAACCACCCACTTGGCTATGCCCCTGTATTTCACAATTAATGTTCAAAGTTTATAGTAGTTGGACTATACTATAAATCATGCCCTCTTTTTTCCAATTGAACAATGTTACATGAAGCTATCTGCCCAAACGGTAGAAAATTGACATGAGATCATCCAAATTTCCAATGATTTGAGATGGGATATATATAACGTCAACTATTTGGGCTAGTGCTCCAGTGATCATATTTAACCTCCTAGTGCTTATCATTCTTATCATGTGCAATGCTTATAGATGTTGCATCTAATAATCCCATTCTCAGGTGTATGTGTCGAAACGCTGTGTTCACCCAGAGCCTCAGAAACATTGGAAGTTGTCGTTGCTTGTCTTTCTGCACTCAATGCTTTATTATCAACAAAAGTTACAAGAAATATTATTGGCAAAGATCAAGTAAGGACATATCTCCTATTGTTTTAGGAACTTTTGTGGACATTATTTCTTATCATAACATGCTTGATTTTTTTATTCAAATTTACTGGCATTTACCGTGACACATTGAAATAGCCATTCAAATTGCCATGGGGACCATATAAATGCCCCCATAATTTTATTCCAATTTGTCTAATTTTCTTTTTATTACGAGTACGGACACTGTCTGTGTTAGCCAAGTGAATATATTCCATGCCCATACATTTCAGTCCCTTTACACAACTTGATGTAAAGTAGGCGAACAATTAGTTACCTTCATATTGGTACATACACTTCTGGAGCGCCCCTAAATGTTGGTGAATTATGCCAAGCACCTTTTTTGTTTGAGAGGCACAACTTCAAATCCTATGGAAAATGCTTATATATATAGGGTGACCCAGAAAAGCATGTAATTACATAATTACAAAAATGAAGAAAATTCATTTAACATTTCAACTCTTTAACTTCTGTTTGTGTATGATTGTACCCAAAAATTTTGGTAATCTAGGAACGTTTGAAAAATTGAAATATTCAACTAATCCTTCAACGATCCCTTATGATAAATATAAAATCTAATCTGGAACAAAGACATGATCAACAGTTTCAACACATTCGTTAAATATTTCTAAAACACAATAGTACATGACTTTTTTTATTGCAGATAATAGCAAGTAAAACTCAAATTGTTTACTTTACAGAGAGACTTATTATGTATGATATGTTGAATGTTGTTCTAATAAAAAGGCTCTAATAATCTGATTTTTTTTTCAGATGCTTGGAATTGAATTATTAAACGTGATACATCGTTTATTACTAACAAGAGAAAATTCAACAAGTCAACATAAAGTAATGGAAGTTGCTTCTAAAATTGTACAAGCCTATAAAGAAGAGCTGTATTCTAACAAAGGTTTGTAGAAATGGGCTTACTTAATGAAACAAAAAAGTTGAAATTTTTTAACGATCAGCTAATTTTTTGCTGATGTCATGGAAACGAGAAGCACCAATCCAAATTCCGTGAAACGAACATGACTAGGATGACAGCATTACCATTACCCATGTGAGAAATTTCAACCAGATCGATACAGCAGTTTAGACGCTACAGCTAAACAGACAAAAGGAATGCACAGACAGAATGACTAAGGATAGGGGTCTCTTAGAGCGGAGATCCAATAACTGTTAAATAAAGCTAGGATTTTCGTTTTCCAGTCCTGCAATATCCATTGGCCATATCTGGATAATTAGATATTCTAAAAATCTGCTTTTTTATAATTCACGTCTTTTGCTCCAAACAAGACCCTGTACAGGCAGCCACTGATATCTAGCTACTATTTTAAGAAGACTGGAATCTTTTAGATTCGACGTTTTTATGCAATTTATCATACCCTGGTTGAAGTGGTGGGTTATGAAATTTAAACCCAAGATGTGTAACCTAAGATACCAACAAAGTTAATACACAGCTAGGCTATCACCATATTTCACTTCATTGTAAAATTGAATATATCGACTATATCCTCTTTAAAGTAGAAATAAAATTTTATTTCTTGAAATCGTGATTTTACCTCGCGGAAATAGTAAATTTTTAGATAAAAAAATGAAAATCATCATTATTTCTAATATTAAGTTTTGCTCTTTCTTCATTTGTATAATATTATTTTCAGATGTTATAGAACCGACAGAGAATGCAGAAGGAGGGGTCGAAGGTCATCTTGTGCCTGGAAAATCAATTGTTTTTGCGTCATTAGAAGTTTGTATGTGTGTGTTGGTGCGACAATTTCCATCCATCAACCCTACGTTTAGGTTTGTTTTTTTCTAAAACCTAGCTTCATTGTATTTCATTAGACATAGCCACTCTTTAAAAAAAGGTTGTGCCACACTTGGCCCAAGTATGAATATTTTTGGGTATTGGCAGAATGAAACCGCGTAGAATTCAATGTGTGAAAATGTTGAAGGATCTAGTATGTGAATTTTGTCTAACAGTTCATTAGAATTCACTATGTTTGATGTGAAACAAACTAAAAGAATGTTTAATATGTGAAATGTTGATTAATTTGATATGTGAAACATCGAAACTCAAAATATTCATTAGAATTCTATATGTGACACACAAAACAGGTTATTAAGAATAAACATGTGAAATATTGATTGATCTAATATGTGAAATGAAATATTCATTAGAATACTATATGTGAAATGTGACATTATCAGTTTCGAATATGTGAATTTTTGAATGATTCAGTATGCAAAACGTCAAACTGTTTATTAGAATTCATAATGTGGTGTGTGAAAAAGTTGATTGAATTCAATATTTAAATTGTATTATCAAATGATTCTATATGTTAAATGCCGAACTATTTATTAGAATTCACAATGTGGTGTGTGAAAGTTGATTGAATTCAATATGTGAATTGTCAAATGATTCAGTATGCAAAACATCGAAACGTTTATTAGAATTCACAATGTGGTGTGTGAAAAAGTAACTTGATATAACATTTAGGAACAAAAACTTTCAGTCGTTCAATATTTTTTATTTCAGAAATCAAAATCCAGATAACAGTAAAGGAAGATTGATAAATGACGAAAGCTCTAAACTTGTATCAATGGCAATTGATTTGTTAGTAGAATGTCTCACTCTTTGTTCCCCTAAAGGTAAGTCCAAACATCAAGTCAATATCAAACCTTGTTCATATATAGACAGAAGACAATAGAATATTTTAACTAATTAATATGGCAATCATATTTAATTTTTTATTGGTTTCTGAATTACAAAATATGTCATATTTAATTGGTAGCTTTCCTTTTTCATTATGCAGGTGTTGCACAAGCGTTAGGAATTCAAAATACCTCTGATAGCCATGAGCGAGTTTGCAGGTTCAAATCCCATCCGGATAATTGTGCGGGAAGTTTGCTAGACCATTATCGCCGTGGTTGTGGTTTGCCATATGTTTGAGCTGTCTTAACGGCTTCCTTCTCCTTCAGGATAAATATGTAAATCCTATTCTATCCTTGTTGTATGGCTAATTTCACTTTGAAATTTAGTGTGTTTCTTGAATTAAAGAGAATATACACATAGGACTTGCAATAGTTGGCAAATCTAGTCTATTCGTTGGTAAATTTATTTCAGTCTTGTTGAAGCATTAACATAAATCACTCTTTTTTTACAGCAACCAGTATCGTTTTGCCAACAGTTATGGTGCTGATTACTGGTGCCTTGAAAGAATGTGTGATTTCAAATGATAACAATGAAAAAACAAATTGTCAAGCTGCCTACAACACTATCACCACAACAATACTCCGGGTACATTAAATTTTAATTTTTTTTTTCTAAAATGATATTTCAGTTTACTTCCTACTTTATTATATGATTCTTATTTATCTCTAATGCTAGATGATAAATTTTGTATCTGGCTCTCTTGTAGTAAAGGTTGCACATTCATGCTCTAACTGCTCGGCTGTGGTATTGTCATGCGCATGAAGGTCTACAAGCTGAATTCATTTTTAACCTTGTTTCAGGTGATTCGTGTCATGATCAACTTGCCATTCATGAGCAGTGAAGATTCAGAAGCGGAATGGATCAAAATATTACAAAGCTCTCTCGCTACTGTATTAGATTTTGCCAATGAAGGTTACTTTGTGAAATATTTTAAAATCAGTTAATGAAAGTTTTTTCAATATGTAGAAAAATTGAAGTTTTCCAAAGATAAAACTCTCTCAATATCGGGGTTTTCTCAACCTTTATTGTCTCTCTCTTTTATATCCCTGTAAAAAATTTTAAAATAAAATTAACAATTATTTTTTTACACAGGCGATGTGAAGAAGGACATGGGTACTGTATTGATGTTCATATCTTTGTTTCTGTTATCTGCTCCAACAATCATATGTAAACACGATGAAATTTTATCCAAAATAATTGATGTTTTTGAGAAGTCTTTCGCATCTGATGATACACAGGTATTCAAGTTTATATTTGGAATTCTTTGCATTGTTCACTTAAATTCTTTCAATTTTAAAAAAAATTAATGAAAATTTTAAAGAAATGCATCTTCTTAGAAAATATATCGCAAGCTACATTGTATAATATCATAAATTACATACCAATGTAGAGATAATGATAGGAATCATGAATTACTGGGTTAGCAGGATAGTCTGTATGTTGAACAAGTTTTTTGAATTACCGGTATGTGAAAATGAGTAAAGTCTCTTTTGCATTTTTTGCTTTTTCCACAAGTGTGCCTTTATTGAGAGTCTTACACACTTCGTTTTCTTGTTCAAATTTGCATTTGGTTTCCCAGTAAATTACTGATTAGTATATATATGTCCCGGGAACGGTGTTTTTATTTTACATTTAAAAAAAATATAAGAATTTTCTCTATATCAGATGTATCATCATAATTTTCCAGTAATCCATTCATAATTTCAGTTATATTTAACTATTAAGGTATTATTATCTAAAATAAAGAATTACAGGATTCCTAATAATGTGTTGTACGTATCCTAATCGAATATAATTCAAATTAATATTCTTCATCAATTCCAGCTACAATTGAAAGTGACTCAGATACTTCCATCCATATTTCGACTCACAGACACGGATCTAACATGGCCATTCATACATAGAATGACTCCACTGGTTGTTAACAAATTATCTCAAATAAGTGAATCATCAGACATACAACAAACTCTCGCAATTGCAATTGAATGCTTCAAAATTCTTGATTTATTGGTTATTTTGACGGAAGATGATGATCGTAAGTGTTCGTTATTTGTCTGTATTTATTGTTTTTTGAAATTCTGTGATTATATTTGAATTACCATGTTTTTATTTCTATTTTCAAAACTCAAGTGAAATATGTATTGCGTTTTAGATATTGCTAATTGTTACATCATTATCTCAGTTAAGACTGTGTATGTTTGTAACAATTCAATTATACCGGTATCTTAAATATACAAAGCGGTATCGGCCCCTTGCGGGTGCTCATCTCCAGGCCTGCAAATACCCTTCTGCTTCTAATTTTGGTCCCCAATCAATCAACTTTGGGACTCGCTCGCTGCTCTAGGTGATATAGACTGGTAAATCTACTATTCACGAAATGCAGTGTGACAGTTTTTTTATGCCATATTCAACCTATGTATCAAATTTATCAACAGGTCAAGATATGATTGATATATTCATGTCAGTTCTTGCAACATTTCTAACAACAATTGATGAAGGAGAAAAACTTTCTCAAACAAAACAGTTCAAAAGACAGCTACATGACTGTGCCCTACAATACTTGATACAGGTTAGATTGTCATCGACTTACCAGCATTCTCTACTCAAAGAAAAGTTCATATCCTAGTTTTTTTGTAATTCTAGTTGGTCTATCTGCTTTTTATGCCAGTAGAGTGTATGGCACCAAGGGGGCAAGACCCATTGAGGGGGCAGTTGATAATTCATAAATCATGATGTCATCACATGGCGTCATGAACGCTTTTTTACATTCTCGTAAAATAGTGATAAATGGAGAGTATGGCTGAGGACGATATATGCCAATTATTTTTACATTTGACATATGTAAATTTTTTTCTCATATACGTCATCCGACGAATGAGGAAAGCTTATAAGACGACTTAATCCTGTAGCGAACCACAGTCACCAGTCCATGTCGGGTATAGAAATAGTTAACCAATCATTTGTTCAGATGCATAGACTTGGTGGTGGATGAAGGCGTAATTCGCCGACTGTTACTTACCGAGGATTCCATTAAGATTCTTGTATAGAGTCCTACAGTTCCCTGGAAGGTGAATATACTCGCCAAGCTTGTCAAATATTCTTATTGCTTCACTACTCATGTTTCTCTATAGGTTGGACAAAAATATCCACAGGCGTTTCGTTCAATTCTTGATTCTCAAATGGTTGTTAAAATGAAACTGGAAGAAGCGGTAAGAGCGAATCAACTCATTACACAACGCAGACAGCAGCAGGAAATCAAACGCCAGGAACAACAGGCTGCAAGACAAGCAAAAGCTAACGCACCCCCTAGCATCAAGTTGAAGATGGATTTTTCTAATTTCGGTGGGAAATAGACATTCGTTACCCACGATTTTTATTGCCTTGGAATCTTAGTAAAGCACCCATTTATCCGTGATTTTATTTAAAAATCTTATGCGATTGCAAATGCTGCATGGAGATGCTTGCGTGTTGTACTACAACAGTATATTTGGAAACCTCCGTTATTTGATTTTTGATAATTGTCATTTGAAATGCTTGAATCTTATTCATTGTAGTAACCACCTACGTCGTCTTTATAGACTGAAATATTCTTGGGTGAAAACAAAATACTACTTGTCTACTTTATATATATACTCATACCTGATTCTTCTGATTTTATCATTTTTATTCATAAATTAAGTATCCTGCACTTTTATTTATTTTTGTTGTCTTAGGATAGCTATTTAAATTTGATTCTAGGAAATTCTGCGCAAGAGCATTTTGCCGTAAAACAAGTATTTGTGATAAAAACAGGTTTTTGAAGTATATTTTATTTAACAAAGATTTTTTATTTAAAAGCATACCCTAACCCTGTAAACTAACTTTTTTTATCACAAATACTTGTTTCACAGCAAAATGCTCTTGCGGCATATTTTTCGGACACGATTTAATTTCTATATATAGGACATTGTTCCAGTATAGGCCTACTTGAAAGTTGGATGCTTTATTGCGCAAGCTCAATCTTTTGAGCGTTTTATGATATAAAATATATGTCATGGACTGATGGTAATTTATGTGTCACAGGTTCAATAACTAACTATTCATTCAAGTTACAAAAGCATCTTCAAGAATCTGTACTTTTTAATGTAATTCTCAATATCATTGTGGTTTCGTAACTCCCAGTGATGACCTTTCGGGGCAATACCATATTATGTTTTAATTCTGTAATAAATTTTATCAACTGTATGTTTATTCGTGATGAACGGTGTCGTTTTTTTGACGCTCCAGAGGTTTAAAATTGTATAAAAGGACTGAAACCTATGGACGGGGTAAATTCACTTGGCTAATGCAGCGAACTCGTAAGGAAACTAAAATATGGAAAATTGGAATGAAATTATGGCCTGACTTGGTACACATACTTACGGCGGGAGTACCGTTTTTCTTTCGAAAATGATGTTGAAATGTTACCGAGAAAATAAGTACCTGACAGGTAAGTCGAATATTTAATTTTAGTATATTGTGCTTCAAAAAGCAAACTTCTACCAATGGGATAACGTTTTGCTGTAGCCGTTAAATCGAAATTTAAACTCGTGAACAGCGCGGTACCAAACCCCGTGTAAAAATGGTGTATTTTTAATCGATGGTCGCCTCACCCAAATCATTCGGCGTTTAGATGTATCGGTATCGGCCAATTCTTTTCAATATCGACGGAAGGTTGGGTATCGACATGGGTATTTGTATCGGCTAGAAATAGGCCGGTGTCTTCTGATCTGTGATGTTTTAAAGGGTAAGTCTGTAACTCTGTACACGGATATAGGAAATATTTTTTGTTGTGGATGGATCTTGTTCGCGGCACCTATTGCCTCGTTGTCTCTGAGCCATGCACGTTCCCACCCTCGCGAGTAGAAACGTGTATTATGATCTCAAGTTTTCTGGTACCGTGGTGTTAATACAATAGTGAACTTCTTAATGTTTAAGTTATTACCAACTATACTTACCCTACTTATAACTATACAGTTTTATATGTTACGTAGATTTTACCATAATTCATACCTGTTTTAGGTATTTATCATTCAATCTATATCATCTAATTTTCTCTATTGTCGTTGGGTTGCCTATATATTTCCAATTAAAGTCTTGTCACTGAAAAAAGGTCGACACAGATATATTTCCATATAGATTTGCGAAAACTCTTGATGATTACCTGTTGCTTCCATATTCTTTCAACGAATAATTTTATGTAGCTTTTATATAACTATGTACTTTCTGCTTTTGAAGTGATATTTGGTCTTGCTGGATAAAGTCGCATTTGATTCAGATGAAGTTGATCTCTGTATTTCAATTTTCTGCACTTTATTAAACAATTTTTGCATCTCTCAGATACGAATCCTCAATTATCTATCCTGTGAATTATCTATATTTTCAACTGCGCGATTGTTTGCGATTTATATTCGTGATATTTAGCATCATTTCGCAATATACCACATTTATTATATATATATATTTGGTAGATAGAAAAAATAATTTTTTTTCTACTTCGCTCAATATTAATAATTTCTATTCAAAAATGCAAAGACGTTGTCACGTATATATATATATGTTGTGGACATTCAGGCTAGATTCCTAGATATTGTACGTACGCTAAAAGTCATTTGTCATTGGAGCACTGGTACGATATCAGCGTTTTACGAGGGTCATTCTGCGACAATTATGCATCTGGAATCTAAATTCTGGATCGTTTTTCTAAATGGCTGTTTTGCAAAAGTCCTCTTCTCCCCGACCACGGAATTATCCCATTTGTATAGTTTAGTCTTAGTGCATAAAGATAAAAGAAGTCGCCGCAACGAGGGTATTACTTTAATATTTTTATGAGGCATGAGGCGCCCAATATTTCAATGACCGTACGTTTGAACCCATACATTTGTACCCGTATATCCGCGGGTTCAATCTATATGAGAGTGCTAAAATCCATGGGTTAGGGTTAGTATGGGTTCAAAAATTTCATAGGTGCAATTGTCGCGGGTTCAATTACGGGTTCAAATGTACGCGGGTTCAAATCTAATGGAACCAATATTTCACCAAAATTATGCTGTTTTATATATTTTACCTAATGATAAAACACCTATTTGACTTTCGTGTCCATGTATTAGTGCTAATGCATTGGACTCTTGTTCTGCATTTACGAAAGTTCGTTAGTGAAACATAGCTATCTCGTAATTCCTAGTTTTATTTCTTACGCATATATTGGAATGAAAGACCAGACTAAGCTGTTGCGTCTCCACACTTCGCCTGCATCGCGCCATCGTCAAAGCGGACAGCGACTCCACGCCGTAAGAAATAATGAAACAGCACTTTCACTGTTGACAGAGATACCGAGTTGAAAGAGTTCGTGACCAGAAGTAGTTTCTATCAATGTTTTCATTCAACCGCTTCACCCACGTCACGTGTCACATACAGACAGAATAAAACACGCAATGACATGCTTGAGGTGAAATTATCAGCACAGACCATGTACAAATTTGATAGTTCGGTATATATATATACTTGGTTCGCAGGTCGACGGCTTGACCGCACATGGCTAATGCTTGGCTGTGAATAACAAGATAAAATCTCGTGAGAACTCTGCTTTTTTAATGTCGTTGAACCCAATCTATACAGCGGTTAACTAGACCACCATCATCGCTCTGATATGATTACACCGAACTACTCTTAGTGTTGACATTTATAATGTATCGCCATTGAGCATTGACCACATTAAACGGTTGGAAAATTTGCAAATATTAAATAGCTTTCCACATTTCAATAGACGACGACTTCCTGAAATCGAAATAAGACGACGTGTAGGACTCGGTCAGCAAATGAATATCATTTATCAAAAACAACAATGAAGATTATCAGATTAAATGCGCAGATCTTTTTCGTAGGACGAGCAACGTTGCACATTTCATTAACAAATAACTGAAAACTAATTGATATCGAATTATTTCTCATAGTTAAGTATTCCGAACATAGACTATTATTATGTTAACTAGTGATCAATTGCTGGCTGCATCATTGTTCTACTATCTTTGATTCTAATAATATAGTTTTCAACAAAATTTTAAGTAATAAGAATCATTCGTCGAAAATGTGTACCCAGCCTTCAGATTCGATTGAATCGAACACCTGCGGTAATAGTGTTAGTCCCGCTTCCGATGATTCAACGGGTACTAACAACACTCATTATCTTCAAAGTTTGTCCCGTTGCGTCACATCAAAGATAGGCTAGACTTCGGAATCACGCCATGATGCATTATTACTTAGTAAACGAATGAAATGGAGATCGAGGCGGAGAAAAAACGAAAGCCTGGATGATCAGGAATTGAGGAATGTTGATGCTTGTAATTACTCAAGATAAGGATATGTCGCGGATTTGAATTACATAGAAAAGTTCTTAGCGATATATTCTTATGCGCTAGAAAAGGAGCACAGAATAAGAACTACTCGTTTGCTAGTCGCTGAAACATTACACTGATTTTCTATTGTATCATTGTTGGAATAATGGAATCCCCTAAAATGAAGTTCAAATCTTCAGTTACCAAACACCAAATAGTTCATTCAAAATTATTAAGGTAGAAAATATTTTTCACTGATATCCAATTGCTAGTTTAAGGACTTTTTTTAGTTTGTTTATTAATATGATCAATGCTTTTACTCAAAACATTTCATCAAACAGAGCTTTTCTCTTTTATTGGAAACCACCCTAGTCATATATTTTCTCTTCCAATTACATGATCGTGTACGTGACTCAATGTATGAAAATTGAAATATTGGAGATTTCAGTCTGACAAAACATCTCAAGTGATCTCATCATCTATTGAGTAAAGCATTTCTCAAACACCTCTCCTACGTGAATTATGGTTTGTCAATGACCTCACATTACCTTTGTACAAAGTAGAAGAATGTCAAGATTATTACGATTAAGTTTCATTGGATACGAGATTACGTAATTTAAAACAGAAAAAACGTAAAAACGTAAAAACTTTGCGATTCGGTAGCAAACTGTAAGCCGATTTAATGGAATTGTGTGTAGCTCCTTTAAGCAAATTGCAATTTTCAAATTTTTTTATCGCCGCATTTTACTGCAGATATTACTGAAGTCAGTGGATGATGTGCTCATCGAGAGGTCACCATTTCGGCATTTGACTGGAAGTCATATAATACTTAATAAACGATCGATCGAGCTCACCGTCTATTTTGGATAGTGTCATCGTCTAGTTTCGCCAAACCAGTCGAACGTGAAACGGTTATGGTGTTATTAGTAGAATAAAAAGGCTTTTTTGTCTTGAGTAATATTTTATCGACATTTTGACCCGCTATTGTTCGGGATTTCAAGTGGCATGACGCTGGTGGAAACAATTTTAGTCCGATTGTTTGCGTTATATGTCACATATCGAGTGCCTATTTCCTCCTTTAACCTCCGCATAAATTTTTGTATCTTGTTAAAAAAAAGCATATTACATTAGAACGAGCTCACTATAAAATCGTTTGGGTCAATAATGGGCAAATTATTTCACCAGTTTACTCATTGATTCAAGTTGGCGGATAGATCATAACTGTGGTGAGCGTCGAAGGACAATATCAAAACAAAGAATTCCCTACCAGTTTTCGAATTGAGTGAAAAAAAAAATATTATGATATATACTTGTTTGGGTGAAAAATTTTGCTTTTAAGAACTTTTTTGTGCTTCTAGAAACGGTCAAAAAAAAGGTTGATCGATTCAATGCGCCAAAAATTCGTTTTGCTTGATCGTGTGCATACTTGGAGGTATCTTTTTAATACTAAAAATGACTGCGTCATTCAAGTCTGTATGATATGTAATCAGTGGCGTATCTAGGGTATGGCAGCCATGGCTCGTGCCATGGGCGCCGTTTAAAAAGGGGCGCAAAAAAAGGCAAAAAGTTTTATTCAAAAAATGCTTCAATAAAAGAATTTCAAATGGGAAATAGTTGAAACTCTTATTTTTACTAAAACGATAACGTAGAAGTATCTCAATTTAACAACAATCGTTAAAAATTGCCAGTCAACGATCAAGAGGGCGTATTTTAAAAATTTGTCATGGACGCCATTTTACGTAGATACGCCACTGGATATGTTACATACTTACTTCTTATTACAGGTTCTGTGCTGATGCCCTCGATCGGTAATGTACTTGATACAGAAAAACAGTGAAATATTACTTTTGGTTCAAGAAAGTCAACAAATACTATGTATCGGGCA